TCCATTTCTTTCTTTAAACTCAATTCAATATTCTTCTCAATTACACAGACCTGGTTTATTATTATTAATATTCCACTATTATTACTCTAAATTTTTTTTAAATATGGCAAGTATAACGCTAACATTATTGAAAATAGTGTATTATCGCATTTTTTGAAGAAACCCGAAATGGTTTCTGTAAGATCTATTTTGAATGCTTTGTGTGTTTGTGAAAATCCCTCCATGTATATACTTGCACTTTGTTCTTATTGATCCTCTTAGTTGTACATTGTTAACTTTTTGAATACATTTGAGTTGTTATAACTTGTACTTTATTATAGTTTTTATTTTTATTACGCCTTCACTGAGTCTCCATATTTCTTCCCGAACTGCACTTATAATGTTTTACTTTATATTAAGTCTGGGGAGCAGCCATATTGGTTTGTTCATGCTTTTGATTGCTTGACCTGTGTTGACTGGAATCGTGCATTTTGGTTGTGAATTGAGGCACTATTCCAGAATTGAAGACACACTGTGTTATAGAACGACCAATTATTACTTTTTGAACGAATCTGTACGTGATCTATCCAGACAGGATAGAATAACATTTATTTGTGGTGATTGGTAATTCTCTAGTATCCTTTATCAACTTTCTTATTTATTGTAATTTAGATTTGATCAATTGAACAATTATTGGTTGGATAGCTGAGTGGTTATATTTGTTTAGGTAATAATGTGCACTTAAATTTATGATAAATTATAGAACCGCTATCTTTGATTTGATTTCAAACGGGCGTGGGCGCGTATCTAACTCATCCAGGCAGCTGTCCAGCAGTCCAAACGTTGTTTGGATCTTACAGTTTCTTCACAACATTTATGTACTTGTAAGATGTTTGTGAATAATAATAATAATAATAATAATATTTCTCTTTGTCAACTCTAATGCCCTTCTTTACTTGATTGTTTGCTCCCGCGTGTTGAGCCTGTGTCTAGAAATTCTCTGTTCTTGTTCGATTTTTGTTAATTTCTGTCGTCTCATTCCTCCTTTTTCGAATCCAAAATATGGGTTTCCGTAGAGATGCATTCCTTATGATGATGCATCTTGCGACCCAGGACATCCTGACACGTTGAAGTTTGTGTTTCTCTAATCCGTTTCCTGTCGTTCCCTATTGTAGTTTTTTCTTGTTTGAGTAGGTCTTGTAAAGCTTGGAACTTGTTGTTGAGAGCTATGTTGAATTGGTCCGGTTTATCTGTATGTGGAAGGAAGTGTTAATTGAAACTTTGTTGGGCTGTTTTCCCAGTTGTCCATTGTTTCTGTAGCTTCAGTTTGATCTTTGCAACCACCAGTTGGTGGTGATCTTAAGCAATGTGAGCAAAGACTGAATAGTTATCTGAACGTCATTCTTCATATCGCCCACTTACTTAAAGTTTCCCTCTGTCTTAAACTATGGACAATCCTGTTATATCTTTTCTTCCCGCCATTGCCTGCCTAATTTCCACTTTTCAAGTTCCGTTGCCAAACCACAAGGACAATACTTCAGAAACGTACGGTGAGTTTAAACTATAACTTTCTGCAACCATAAGGCCATTTCGGATGATTCATACACTGACAGCTGTATAATTATTCAGACTCTTCGAATTGTTCTGAATCAAGCGAGCGACAAGAAGGTCAACAGTACCAAGAACCCTGGAATTAATCGCAATACTGCGTGTTGAGATTTTTGCTGCGTTTAATGTTGAATGTCTATTTTCCTGGTTGTCTCGTGTTCAGCTTTGAGGACTGTGTAATTAGGGTACAATGCCACTACATGATCATTCTGTATAATCTGTTTTTATTCACTTTAAAATATCATTCTACCTTTCCCAAATGTATTCTTTGGAAACTTCATGCATTACATTTCTGATTGTTACGTAACAATGAGTCGGAATATATAGTTATGTGACTTTCACGAAAGATCCCATAAGTTAGGTAATTAAATCATGACAAATCCGCAGTTTTATGATTATTTCCGTTTTCGTAGTGATACCAATAACGATTTGGACCATAGTTCCACTTCGACTTTTTAAATCCTTTGTGAAATCGGGTTCGCTCGGCACTACCAATTCTTCACAATTGACGGAAGCTGATACTATTTTTGAACAATTCATCCAGCATTTCTCGCGATGCTGCAGTACTGAAGCCGAAACCTTTGTCAATACCTTTCCACTGGTGACGTCTAGACATAAATTCGAAATTGAATTTAAATCCATCAACATCAACCAGACTATAACTTCACTGAAAAAGCCCTATGACGATGAATGTGATGGGGTTCCTGTGTCATTCGTAAAATATGGTAGTACAAGATTTCCGGTATTGTATTTAAAGCTGTTTAACTTGTCTTTGGATTGCGGACACTATCCATATGTTTGGAAAACATCGCTTATCACCCTTAGGTTCAAAACAGGATTACGTACTGATATTGTTAACTGTATGTTCATTAATTTGACATCCACGCTATCAAGAACCATGGTAAAAATCATCCACAAATGGATATTGTCATTTATACTTTCATCTAGCCTGATTGGCCCATTCCAACATGGATTTATAACTAAACGTTCATGCTTCACATCGTACCTGGAATTTTTCTATCAAATTACCAGAGGACAGATATTGGTTCATCAGTGGTAATTCTGTACTGCAACTTTAGTAAAACTTTCGACAGTGTTTCACACAAACGTCTTCTAAATCGTTTTTTATTTGGTGAACGGGATCCCCTTTAATCCTGGTTTAAATCATTTCTGGAAGAACGTAGCCGAATCGTCCGCTTTGAATCTTGCTACTCTAAGCCTATGAATATAACCATTGGGATTATACAAGGAAGTGTGATTGGTCCATTGCTCACTTTTCTTTTTACCAATGACATGTGTTCACTCTTTCAATACGGTAAATCATTCCTTTCTGCCGGTGACCTAAAAATGGTTTATGCATTCCCTACTTCCACTAGCGGTAATCTAAAAAGACAAACAAGTTTTACGAATGGGCTGTGTCGTCTAATTCATCACTGAATGTTGATAAAAGTAGATTTATATACAATGGCCGCTGCTCTAACCTAAATCTGACTATACACGGACATATACTGAAACCTCTCACAGTATCCGTTATAATGTTGTATACAAGGTGTATCTACCGGTTTCTTTTTCTTAACTAACTGAAAGCAGAAGAAAAGGAAACAAGAAATTTTCTCAACTGCTGGCTATTCGTTTTGTACACAAACACAGTGACTGGCAACACCGAACTTAACACCAGCCATTCCCAAACTATCTAACTTCTATACTTCTGTCGTTATTTGACCTTTATTCAACTGAAGTGGACTCTCCTGATATGTTTAATTATGATTCACACTCGAAAATTTGTTTCACTCCGAATACTCCTAGGTATTTGTGTTAGCCACCAGGCCTTTTATTCACTAGCCGTACTGAACTGTCTATCGTTCTAGAAAATGAGACACCAAGAAAAGCCATTTTATTATCATTCACCAGTTAGCTGGTAAATTTAATAACTGGATGAACGTTATCGTAAAAGTTCGAAAGCTTTCATCTTTTGATACTTTTTTGCACACGATTAGTGTGTCACCTTTGTATCTACAGCAATAATCTGACTTATTTAGGACATTATTATCATTCACAAACAGCTTATGGGTACTTGATTGTTATGAAGAAACAATTTCAGATCGGCCCTAAAGTCTGGTATCGTCTTTTTCAAAGATATGCCGTGAACAACACTGAAATGTATCCTCAGTTTTTTTTGGAAGAATAGGTTTTTTTTCCCTATCTGGTTAATTGAACTCTTTAAGGCGGTAGAATCAGAATCCATTTTAGCGGCAGGTTGGACTTGTGGTCTTTGCTTTGCTCTAACATGTATGGGAATTCTGATTTCATTTTGTTCCATTCTATATTTTTGTGAATCTCCGGAGTTTTTCATCCGTGTGGGTTCTCGAGAACCCCTTTAATCTGTGTCGGAAGTTTGTTTCGAGGGAATTCCCTCTTAAGTGACATTTCTTGAGTATTGTTATTAGAAAACTGGGTAATCGCACTATCAATCTCACAGTGATATCCTTACCAAAGTATTGAGATGTTCCACAACAAGTGAAGTGAAGGCATGCATTGTTATCGTACTCGTTTATTACATGGTTCACGTTTTCGTGTCATAGTTTTAAGATTTTCATTTGCTGGGAAATAGTTATTACGTCTTGAACAAACGGTCACTTGGGAGCCTCATGCAAGTATTTTGTAGTCTTTTGCTGAAATATTTGGAATTTGTAATCAGTAGATATATTTTTGCGTAAATTGACGTTGAGTTTATTTATGTGTCTGTTTTTGCTAAAACGTTTTCAAGATTCCTCAAAGAAAACAGCGGAAAAAATGAGCGGTAGATGAATTTGTGTTATGTAATAACCAGGGTATGTTTAGTGAAATGTAGCGTCTACGAGTAGGGCTGTATGTCTTGGATGTGGTGAAATGATTTACTACCAATCAAAAGGGACTGCAGGTCAAGATAACTCAAATCCATGGATATATTTCAAATTTTTTGACCTTGTCATAAAGTTGACCGACTAAATACTTTAATAAAAGGGGTTTTGTCAGCATAACGAAGAATAACTTAAATATAGATATAGGAAGGATTTTGACTGGTAGATTGGACTATGTGGGAGACGTGAAATTTTATATGGTGAACTAATAGAGTGGTTAAGACTAGAGAATTTTCAACCTGAAAGGATTCAGCGACGCATTATGATTCAATAACTACTTCTGTATTTCCAACCAGTATTTTTAGTCTCTGTTCTTCGTTGCTAAACAATGATAGTTTGTCTTCATTTAGGAGATTTGTGGCATAGTTAGGTAGAGGAGTGCCGTCTTTGATTTCGGTTAGTGACTAATTATTGGCAGTATTAACTGTTGAATCCACCAGTAATTACCCGATTCCATAAGTCTTTTCATACCACTGCATTGTATTAAACGTTTAAAAAAATCTTTTTACATAGATGTCCGCCTTTCGAAGAATAGGCAAAAGGCTTGTTTTGGTTGGAGCAATATCTGGCGTCGGTGCTGCATTTTTATTGGAATTTGTCCCCAGAGTTAATGAAGCCAGAAGGACGAAGGTGAAATACTTATGACAGTAATGATTAATATTTACTATTAATTAGTTATTAAACAAATCATTGCTTGTACTGACATGTTAGTGTTTGTTTAGAAACGAACTTGGGTGTTCATTAGTATGAAAATTCAATGTTTTTATGTATAGATCACCGAGTAGTAGCCGATATCATGTTTTGTTTTTTCTTAAGTATCAATATAATCCTTTTAATCAACTTTAGATAACTCATCACACTGACTGTTTCGAAGTGAAATGACTAAAGACAAGTGACTGTAAGATATTAGTATAATTTTCTTACTAATTGGTGTTCATGATTCGTTTGTGCTTCAAGGCAATAATTCCTAACTCCGAGCTCGATAGCAGTGGGCGAGAGTGCTTCTTATTCTCTTTGTCCGCTAACTATAGATTGGAGTACAAGCCTTCCCAAATGATTCGTGGAAAGAAACTAAGAGCATTAAAATTATTCAAATACGTTCATTTATGTACAAGTTTAATTTCAATTGATTACTAGTTGAAGAATTTGTCAAACTAAACAGATATCACAGAAATAATGCAGTCGGACATTAAATCGAGTCAATATCAACTTGACAAAAATAACACTGGGTTAATTGATGCAAAAAGTGCTTTGAAAGCCAATTGAATGAAAATTACTTCGCATCAATGACCCATCAGAAAGATTTACCTTGAGTTCTCAGTAACTGACACTCCTTGTGCAATGGGAACCCGCATCACTGTATTTATTTTTGTTTATTTAAACTCAAACATTGGTATGAGGAGGCACCAAATGTATATGCGCCACACTTCGTCATTCGATTTGTGTAAGGGCTGGGATACTGCCCGGGCGCGCAAACCAAGGTGGGTAGTCCTCTTAGGAGGCCACTCTCCAAGCCTTTGACTTGGAGGTTTAATCTATAGGGCAGTGGAGCAACGTAAGTGGATGCAGTCTCATAGTAGCCGGTGACCAACAATAAGTTCATACGCTATTTGTTTGCTCAGAATCCTGGAGCCCATGTGACCATTCGTTTGGAATCAGGGTTTTCCAACCCTCCTAGATGGGTCCTCCGGAACCCATTGACCCGGTTAAAGCACCGGACATTCGCTTTTCGTCCTCTTCATTTCGTAAATAACAACCCCACCGCGAGAAGGCAGTGAATAGGACTTCACTGTTGGGGGCTATACTTGCGTGGCTATGTGAGAGGATTTCGAGAGGGAAAGCGGACTCTCCCCACCTTCGACCGTATCATGGTATTTGGGGGGCATATATTCCATATTATCACTAATATTATTAGGCTACACCTGACTTCATCATCTTGCACCACAATATAGTGGCTGTAATGCTGAGTCAGTTATACCGATGACCATATTGTACGTAATTTTGTGTATAATTTGATCAACACTAAGAACATGCTACTAATTACCATTCAGTGTTTTAATTTAGTCGCTTGTTGCCATTATTCATTAATAGTTAACACTGTCAAGAATAAATGATGTGATTTTCTCTTAATACCTAATTTAACGTGAATTTGGGCTTACATAATAATCTGTCATACATTCCGTTGAAACAATTTTATGTGAATTTATTTCGAAATGTTTAATTCGTTGATAAATGTTTTATCTTGACGCGTATTGTTTCCTCTGTTATCATCACAGTTTGAGCTTTCTGAAAACCTAAGATCGTGTCGACAATTTTATTCTCTACATCATCAAACGTAAACTCGTGTTTTTGATGTGTCTGCAAAGTCATATCACAACACTTTATTGGGACTTATTTTTTAAACTTCTGATATGTTACCACGAGTTCAGAAACGCAACATTTTATTTTTGGTTCAATTAGTTACTCACCTGAAATCTAAATACTGTAAACTATTTAGGGAACGTGTGGAAAACTGACTACAAAAGGACGATGGATGTGATAGTTTTATTTCTGGTTATGTCTTCTAACTCCTCAATTCACTTCTAAATGTTCTATTCTTCAAGCCTGATCAGTATAGGATTTTAGTTTTGGCCAAAGCTTGTTATAAGTTTTTTGGTAACTGTGTATTTTGACTTTCAAATAAAGCAGAAATGTATGAAATCTGTTAATGTGATTTTAGGCAATTATGCCTCACTTTTTGTTTATTATCATTGCATCTTCATTTTAAGTGTTCATAACATCATGTTAAACTGTATAGCTTAGTGTTCCTGATATTATATACTTGCCAAGTTTGTAATCAAAACTAGCAAATAAGCAGATCACTCATTTGAAAGAAATTTAACGCAATTAACAATTTGTAATTCACTATTCTGGAAAGTCAAACACGTGAATAGAAACAAGCCGGAGCTTGTCATAATAATTTAGCTGTTGATTCTATCATACTTTTACTCACCAATCGTTTATTATGCTGATATTCTACGCCATTACTGTCTATCTAACCTATAGTTCATATATATATTCGGAGGCGCTAAAAATGTTTGCGACTCTGAAAACAATCAGACTCCAGTTCTCAGTGATCGTCGATGATGGTATTAGTTAAATCACACTTCTTTACAGATGCTTTTCAAGAGAATAAGTATTACATCTTTTTCATTCTGAACTTTTGGCCATTCTCGTGGGTAACCAGAAATATTTAATGCTTTTTGATAGTCTGTTTATTTCCTTAAAACACAGTTTTAAAAATATAAACGAACCAATTCAGCGACTGATCATGCTTCATCATAGCTTCTTATCTGCTATTTCACTATTGGTTTCGCCTTTTTATGTAATCAGGCAATCACTAGTCACATTGTTCAATAAGCTTATATTCTCATCACTACATCTTATACTTACAGGCTTTACTGTCGAGACCTAAACCTTCAGAACAGGAGTTCAAACGTTTTGAGCGACCCTTGCCGACTAGAGATGAACATCTCAAACGAATGGCATCAGGTGAACTTTTCGATGTCTTAGTAATTGGTGGTGGGGCAAGTGGTGCTGGTGTTGCGTTAGATGCTGCATCTAGAGGTAGGTTGAAAAAGTGAATAGCTTCAACTATGCGCCCAAATTCTTGTCATCACATTTATTGACATAAACAAACATAATTTTTTGTCCTGAGGTTTACCTTTACTTATTCGAGGTACTAAGAGAATTTCTAAATCCTACACTGTTTAGATGACCGGTTAAATTTGTCTCATCAATAAATACTTTCAAATTTAGCTATCTAAATCTTCAAAAATGTGGATAGGGTCTTCTAATTAGTAGAAACTAGTAATTTAAGAATTTGGGTAAAGTAGCTGAAGGCTGGTAGCAGAAGCATTTATGCAATGTGTTTTATCATACTGCAAGTTTCAAATATGCTACTGTGTTCTTACATGGCTTCATATTACTTCGTTATTCCCTTTTTTGTAGTGACATGTTTCCCATTATTATTGTTAGTATTTTCGACTCAGCCTTATGATTTTTAAATATGACTAATTGAATCAATACACCATTTTTATTTCGTTATAGGTCTTTGTCGTCAGTCAATAATAGCTGTTTATTTGACCCTGTTTTTGTCGTTAAACCGGTTTCAATATCACCGTTTAATGATGAGTTTTAATTAAATACTTTGGTTAAACCCTGTGTGTCTCTAACATTAAATGTTTAGTTTCATGATGTAGTATTAGTTATTTGTATTTTTAATACAGTGGTATTTGATTAATCCAGTGGATTCCTTGTGAAATATCAAATAATGATGTTTGGAGATGATTGCGTACAGAAGCTGAAATATCGAACAGACAAAATACTAACAATGTTATAATCTTATACTTGAGTACTTATGTAATTAGCAAATTGAGAGAAAAGCATATCTACTAATAATGGAAGAGAATTAGTGAGACTAATTAATTACTTTCGGTTTCTTCCAGTAAGTTATGTTTAAGATCTATCGTTTGAATGGTATTCAGTTAGTTTTTTGCCTTATAATGGGTGATACCTATTCATCTCAAGAATAATGCTTATTCTTCAGTTATATAAAACTGTGAAATCGTATAAAAACCTATCCTGGATAAACATTTACTGCACGGCTATTTTTGTATTTTTTTTCGAGTGAAGTTTTTTCATCCCTTTTGAAAAAAATAGTACATGCAAAATTTATTCAGAATGTTTCAGTTGACCTTTCCTATAGAAATGATGTCGTTGTACTAGTGAACTAGTAGTACTACGTTCGCCTAACGTAACTATATGACAAAACACTGAAACATTCTGAATAAATTTTGCATGTACTATTGTTAGACAGTTTTGTGTTCGTTAGATGACATTTCCTATACGAAATCGTTTACTTAAACCGTATATCTGATAAAGCTCAAAAAGCGCTTACGAATACATGGGCGATAATCACATAATGATTACCAATCTTAAATGAATTTTGATAGCTTCATCAATTGACCTTTGCCATGGAAATAAGAAATTGAAACAAAAGAATTTAAATCAAATTGTGGGTGGCCCTGAAAAGGGCTTTTACTCGTTCTCTTAACAGTTCCGAATTTCATGGACAAAAAAGTTGCTATGATTCCGTTATAGCGTCGCACATGGGACAGTGAATTCCATGGACGTGTGGTGATGGGTCGTAGGCACAAAATAAATGAAACATTGTTTCGCATGGACAAAAAATCCAGGCACTTCCATCAGCAGTTTCATTTTCTTGTGGCGGTTGCGCAAGATTGTAAATATCACAAAGTCTGTTGTCATACACGTTTGCGTCATTGTCGTCGTCTCGTTCTGTGAACTCTTCTGAGTTAATTATAACAATTTCTTCCTCGTCATCGCTCAACGTTGCATCCACATCGACATTATTTTGACAGTTGGTAACTTACAAAATACGAAGGAAGGACATTGAGTGTTCACGGTAGTCCTTAATGAAAAATTATAATAACACTAATCAAATTACCTCGTTTGTCTACTCGGCTGTGAAGAACCGCTAGGTGTTATACGACCATTTCTCCAACATACGAATCTAATATACGGCTTCCGATCTCTATGTAAATGAGAATCCCTCAACACATAGTGGCAGTACGCAGCTGTTTCATAAGTTCTTATGGCGCTCGTCAAGTGGTTGAGACGCTACGAGATACAATGTGCTTAAGAACAAACAGGTTATCGGTTTCTGTGACAACGTGAGGAACGACAGAGCTCGTGTTTTGCATGTTACCACCGTCCATAATTGTAAGAAAATGTGCTCTGTCGTCATGTCCTGATATTTTATATCGATTTGAAGAAATAAACGACCAATTATAACGAACTCAAAACTAGTTATTTGATTGGACGAAACAGAATGAAAATTATTGGAAGATGGGGATAAAAAAATCTTTCAAAAGGGATGAAAAAAATTTCACTCGAAAAAAAACAACAAAAATGGCCGTGCAGTAAATGTTTACCGACTTTATGAGGACCAGTTCAAATCATCATTACGTACCTGTAGTTTACAATCTAAAAAAAATTGCTGATATTCCTACCCGACTGATACGTCGTCTTGTTCGGGACCCGATGTCAACACTTAAGGAAGTTGCTGAAGAATATCAACGATTAACCAACCTCAAACACGACACCAATCTAGTTCATTGCGCTGGTCAAAATAGGTTTGACGGTCAAGCAGTTCAAAGTAAAGTTTTCGCAAAAGGTTTGGGGAATTATACTACAATGAAAGTAAATCTTCACCTGAAAATAAAACGCTAATCCATTGGGGTTTCCCCATCGCCAATTGTTGTGTCCTGCTGTTAGAGTTCAGTACGGCCTATGGTGCTGTGGATTTAGAGACGAAAACGATTGAGCTTCTCCAATACGATCGGTTCTTTTCGGAACTGACAACAGTCAGTTATACTCAACATATGAAACCTCGACGGCTAAGACAGAAAGAGGACAGAATTACAGGTAACTTGATATATGTGGTAGAACCCAAACGAAATCGGTACGGAATTGTTACTATAATAGCAGAATATGATCTTCGAGCATGTAGTAATTTAGCGAACTAAAAAAACAAGATGACCAATCAGAGAGCAAAGGTTATGCGAAAAATCGAATTGGTAGAAAGTGTGCGAGCGGTTATCGTTCCAGAAGAGATCCTAGCTCTTCTAATAAAACATGACTACTCTTGCTACCCCTTTAGCACAAATTCGTCTACCTTTTGTTTGAATCGATCGTAAAAACTGCTTAATTCTTTTTTTACACATATATTTGAATTTTCTGCATAGGTAAGTGGGAAATAAAAAAGATCACTATTCTTTCAATTCATTTATGGTTAGATGAATAAATAAATGTTTATGCTTCCCTCATATACACACCTTCAATCAATTATTGTTTTGTAAGTACTAATTTTCTCTTCGTTCTTTTTTTGCCTAAAGGTTTATCAACATGCCTTATTGAAAGATTGGATTTTGCTTCGGGTACCTCCTCTCGTTCAACCAAACTTATTCATGGTGGTGTTCGATACCTACAAAAGGCTATATTTAATTTGGACATTGAACAGTTTCGTATGGTTAATGAGGCACTTAGTGAACGGTCTAATCTAATCGATATTGCTCCACATCTAGCCTATCCATTGCCAATCATGTTGCCCATATATAAGTAAGTTTATATAGATTTTTGTCATTTAAGACTAACTAAAATTGGAGATTTAAACCATTGATTACCAACACAGGGTTTCAGATGTAACATGCTCGTTTCCAAATTCGAATATATTGAGTTTGAGACGTGACAAGGTCGTGGGTACGCACTGTTGAGAAGTCCCGTTTTAGGAGGAAATGGCTATTCATTGTAGGTAATATTCATCACGGATTGATCACAGTTGGGGTACATTAAAAAACGAAGGGTATTGGACGGCTATTTTATCCCACCATTGGACTCCTTGCTAATGCAAACCCACAACCAAGAGTTCCAACTAAACGACCACCTTTGTACAAACTTCTTTTGTACACATGGGTTCAGTTCGGTGAGATTGTTGTCAATGCTTTCAGCCGTATGCAATGAGCGTATTGGTTGAGCATAGAGCAAACTAGATAGATCATTTAGAAGTATGTATTCAACTTAATTTTCACATTTATTATAAATATAAGTGATAGATCTAACAAAAATTGCCATCACAGACACTGTAATTTGAACTACTCGTTTCTTCTCACTCAACACAGCTGTTGGTATTCATAGTGATCCTGGAATTCAATACTAACCATGCAGTTTACTTATAAAAAAAATTCACTTTTAATGTTGTCATTGTTTTTATTATCAATTCTGTAGATGGTGGCAAGTTCCGTATTATTGGGCTGGTATTAAAATGTACGACTTAATATCTGGTGCTCAAATACTAAAAGCCAGTTATTATCTTAATAAATCACAGGCATTAGAACGATTTCCCTTATTGAAACGTGATAAACTAGTCGGCGGGTTAGTATATTATGATGGTAAGTTAGTTTCTAAAATGCCTTATTTAATACTGCGTTATCCTTCCACAGATATACATCTTTCAGGTTGTTTTATAGTTTTATTGTATTTGTTGGATTTTGCCTCTTAAAATCATAAACAATGTTCATCATTGAGATCTATCAGGTTTGGATTTGTCAGATATATGCTCTTTAAAAGAAATGTAAATCATCCATTTATTCTTTTTATTGTTATATACCATTATACTCCTGGGTAAATTTTATCTATGGTTTGCTGTACAACGATTGGTTTTTTTAAAGGTTATTTTTCATCACGAATTAACTTCACCCATAGATCTAATAAAATGACGGAGGACTTTACTACAATTTCGTCCTAGTTTGTTACTTTTTGCCAATAAGCTCCCATGATTACGCAAAAAATTTAGATCTGGATCTAACGGGTATCGCGGTAAGTGAAATGCTGTTAGCATTAGTTGATCGTCAGTCTGTACCATAAACTGACTGGATTTGAAATTGTATCACTTGATGCAAACCAAGTGATTCTCGTGGTTATGCGTTTGCCCTTAGATTTGAGGTTCTTAGAGTAGATCACTGGTGGAGTTGTGAGTGCCCATCGACATAAAGACGTATGCTAGGACGAGACAGCTGTCTATTATTTTTGGTTTCTGGTGGTACCCAATCTCATATCAATCTGTGATGACTGCTGATTGCAAATTAAGTCAATCTCCACAATCTCCTCCAAATAAAAATAGTTTACTCTCTTAATCCTGATTCGGTTGATTAAAAAAGTCGCGGTTCCCTATTGTAGAATTTCGAAAAGTCTATCTCGACAATTTTTTATAGTATGTATATGGTTAACTTAAATAAGTTTTTAGCGGAAATTGTTTAAGTTTAACTAGTATTTGCTAAGAGTTTGTTTTAGATTTTACACATATAAATGATTGATTACCCTGAAAAGTAATTATAAGTATTGATCGTGCATTATACACCAACGCTGGGACCGGTTAGAAAAAGCGAATAGGTGGTCAGTGCACGATATGTGGTATGAAAGAAAGCTGTACAGGGCTGACTTTTGTTGGTCCTTCATGACTCCCTGATTGAGATCCTAGATGTAGTGCAACACAGTGGTAGATACGTTATCAGACGGCTCAGAATCAAAACCAGTGCGCGATCCTGCTGTAACTTTCTTTTAATTTTATAAAAGTGAACGTAACTTCTTTAGCTGAAGGAATTCTTTGTGGTTGTATTTTTGCTAAGTGAAATGTTTCCCCCATTATTATTTATTTATTTATATACTATTTCACTTTCATACACTAATTTCTGTTTGTTGTTGTGCTTTTTATTATATGCACTTTACATTTTCTATCTATTTCAAATCCCATCTGACTGGTCACAATCACTCATTGTCCCAATATATAAGAGAGAGTTAAAATCATCCTGTGACAACCATAGAGGGATTATTTTAACTAATATAGTATTTAAAATACTAGCATCGATAATTATCGAACGCCTAACTAAGACTCGTGAACTGCAAACACAAGAGAATCAAGCTGGCTTCAGACCTGGTCGTGGCTGCATCGACCACATATTCACTATTCGTCAGGTTCTAGAACATAGGCATACTTATCGGCGTCCGACAATGGTGGTCTTTCTTGACTTAAAAGCAGCATTTGACTCTGTAGACCGGGAGGTTCCGTATCAGTGTCTGTCATTGAAAGGCGTACCCCAGAAGTACATAAACCTTGTGAAGGCTTTTTACTCGAACACTACTAGTCGAGTCAGAGCTTATGGCGAACTGTCATCTGATTTTGCAACCTCAAGTGGTGTCCTTCAAGGTTGTTCACTCTCTCCAATTTTGTCCAACTTCATCATAGACATATAGAAACAACATTCTCGTCGACTGAATTTTCGGGCATTGATCTCCTTCTAGGAGGTCGACTTATAATACTCTGATGACAGTACTGTTTGGTGAAGACACTGATAAAATGCAGAGTCTTCTGGTAACACTAAGCAACAATGTTAGAATGTTTGGAATGCGCTTCTCTCTTTCTAAGTGCAAGTTGTTGCTTTAGGACTGGTCTGCGTCAACACCTGAACTGAGGATAGGGAGTGAAGTGGTCGAACGCGTTGACAACTTCACTTATCTTGGAAGTCTGATCAGCCCTAATGGGTTGGTGTCTGACAAAATCTCTGCACGGATTCAAGAAACTCGTTTGGCTTTTGTCAACTTACGTCACCTTTGGCGAAGGCGAGATATCCGTCTATCAATAAAAGGAAGAGTATACTGCGCGGCAGTCCGTTCTGTTTTAATTTACGGCAGCGAAACATGGCCATTAAGAGTTGAAGACACTCATAATCTACTAGTATTTGACCAAAAATGCCTTTGAAATATTGCTGGTGTCTGTTGGGATCACCAGGTAAGTAATAGTAAGGTTAGACGTAGGGTACTAGGGAATGATGGTAAATCAGTTGATGAGGTTGTGAATCTTCATCGACTGAGATGGTTGGGCTACGTGTTACGTATGCACGAACACCGATTACCACGACGTGCAATGCTAACCGGTGTTGGAGGTGGTTGGAAGAAAGTTTGGTGCGGCCAAACCAAAACGTGGCATCAGTGCTTGAAGTCACTAACTTCTAGTCTGAGCCATGTTGGTAGATGCAGACTACTTGGTTGGGGTTCGCGTGACTGTCGTAACCAATGGTTGGAAACTGTGGTTGACATGGCTGCAAATCGATCACAATGGCGTCTGTGTATACACTCTCTGTTTCACAATTGATTGATCACTGGGTGGTGATCAATGTCATGCTTGTCTAGTCCTTATTAGTGCAAATCGAATGCTATCGATCATGTTGCAAATGTGGCCACCAGTCTAGGTGACTCGACACTGCAGGCACTATGTATTGAGATTTAGATGGCAGTTGGAGGTAGTCAACAGGGAACCCTGTCTTCCCTTAAACTAAGAGATTAAAATCAATCCATATCTTTCTACGAATTAATTCTTTCTTCCTGTACTATATCCTTATATGCAATCTTTTTTTCATATATTACCACCATTGAATTAACTACTTTTATGAATCCGGTGTTCATCTTGTTGTGTTAATGAGGTATGGCGACTTGGACCGATGCAAATATGTGCCTGGTCCTACGTTGTAGCTGACTGACTGACTCATTGATATTGTGCGGCTCATATGTATTTGGTGCCCCCTTGTGCCAATGTTTATGTGTTCAAATAGCTAGTAATAATAATAATGCCAGTCTAGGACGAACATAGTTTTTCTAGTACTCTTTGATTGTAAACAATCCTTTAGCAGACATCAGTTCGTGATGAAGTTTTATCACCTTTACATTCTGCAAAATCATCTTATCTACTTCTGTTCATGATCCGAGAAACATTTTTGTGCTACGTGGTTGAAAGTAATTCACAAAAAACCCTTAACCTAGGTTTCTTGCTGTTTGGCACCCGTAAGATGCACCTGTAACCCTAAAGGAACTAACGTCTAACGGATTCAATCCCCTGTCATCCGACTTCATAGTCAGAGAGGTTAGAACTAAGCTACTCAGGCCTCAACTGTGATGTATTGCACGCAATATTGAGTCAGTTTGAATAGTGATCACATTTGAACTTGACCGATGGAATTCAGTCAGCACTAAAAAGTGCTTAACAAACATAACATTAGTCACTACTCAATGACCAATTAATTGTAAATAAAAGCTGTTCTTTTTGTGGCATTTTTAATTGCAAAAAGCTTGACCTGGTTAATTATTATCATAGTGCTAATTGTTTTTAATCCGCTTATTCTATTATTTATTTGATCAATGTTAACATTATTCGGTTTAGATTCAGATGCCCTTCAAATCGTACTTGTAAGTAGTGGATATATTGCATATATTCTACGGTAAGAAAACAACAGTGTGTTTTTACCACTCAGTAGTTGTTGTACATCTAGATACTTCACTACCAATTACGGAATCTAGCTATTATCAAAATAACTTTAACATAAATATTGGCTGAACACAATGGGTATATCTTTAGCATTGTTCTATGAAAAACAAAACAGATTTGGTCAAACCTTATACTAATGATAATTAATTTTAAAGTCAACATTTACTACATATTTAGGTTACATTCATTACAAATTAATGTTAGTTAGTTTACCATTAGAAACCAGGGGCAATAGACAGCTGTTTCGTCCTAATTTGGGACTTCTCAACAATGTGAAGCTATAACCACACCGGGTAGGGAATTTGGTACCCTTCTGTCTGTAGGAGAACGCCTTGGCGAATTCAATTAATTTGCAATAAAGAAGGAACAAATTGAGCGAAGAAATTTCTTTTCAATTAGTTTTTCATCATGGCTCTACACTAATATATATACGTTTTACAATAATAATATAATACTCATCGAGTAGATACGTTACGTAATAATTACATAATGACATTTAAATTAACATTGATTAATTGGAAGAAAGAGGATTATTAATATTCAAGTGATCAAGAAGTTGCTACGTTGCGTAATGTAAGAAACAAAGAAGGAACAGAATTTTAACGGATGGTCAACAGGATGGTAGTTACGTAAGAATCAAAAGATGAATATGTTGAGAAGTTATTAAGTTCAAAAGCAACAGAAACAAAATTACAAAAGTTAAAAAAAACAAGTGGAAGAAGTATGAAAAATAGTTCTTTTGAAGGAAATCTTAAACTGATGGCCAGGACAGAGAAAGTGGTTGTACGAATCTCTTTTGAATGCAAAGGTCAGGTTTGTGAACATGGATTGCAATGGCTTCCGCAATGTGCAAGAGGCGCACTCGTAAACCATGTGGCAAATTAGATGTAATTTTGTTTCTGTTGCTTTTGAACTTAATAACTTCTCAACATATTCATCTTTTGATTCTTACGTAACTACCATCCTGTTGACCATCCGTTAAAATTCTGTTCCTTCTTTGTTTCTTACATTACGCAACGTAGCAACTTCTTGATCACTTGAATATTAATAATCCTCTTTCTTCCAATTAATCAATGTTAATTTAAATGTCATTATGTAATTATTACGTAACGTATCTACTCGATGAGTATTATATTATTATTGTAAAACGTATATATATTAGTGTAGAGCCATGATGAAAAACTAATTGAAAAGAAATTTCTTCGCTCAATTCGTTCCTTCTTTACTTACCAAATGGCAAAATGGGAATTTTCACTAATTTGCGATATACCGCGGCGATCATTCAGTGTTGTTAGTAAAGCCTATTTCACTTCCTATCTGTCTGAATACCACTAGTCATGATTTCATATTACATATCTTGATAAAAAAATAAAAGTACATGATTGTTTATGATTTCAACAATTATGGGTCATTATTTACACTATTTATGAGGATAATATTTTAAGTGATACAATTCTCAGTTTATTGATATGAGGTTGAATTTCATAGTGTCATGAACCGTTATAAACATAGTTGTATTGGCAATGTACACTAGATCTTTCTAAAAATTTGATATTTTATAGATTAATTAGGTTTTTGAATTTTACGATAGAATAAATTCTTTAATTAACACAAAACTACAGTTATTTCAAGTTGAAATGAGCAATAACATTAAAAAATCAGTCAAGATACATTTTTCTTAGTGTTCGATTACATAACAGTGTTTATCGGTACTACTAATCAAATTACTTATATTTTTTCGACTATAGTAAACTCATTCTATGTATGACATTTTTGAATCTAGATTAATCTAGTACTTATTTTGAATATTTGACATGGCTCAAAATCGTTTGCAATGGCGCAGGTGCATACACTCTTTGTGTTCTCCCAAATTTTGATCTCCTTATTCCTCCCTGTCTCTTTCTTTTCTCTCCCTAAATTTATTTCACAGTACTATACTCTTTAAATAACATCTCCAAACACTAATTTTCCGATTACTGCTTCTACTCTTATTACCTCTACCACTACGGGATTTGAATCGACCATTGCATCTGCGTGCTCATGTGGTGTGGCAACTCGAACTGATGTACGTACGTACGTACGAAGTTCTACGTTGTTATTAACTGACTGACTGGCTTTGAATGTTACTAAAAATCACAATGTTCTATTTTTGTTTCATAAACGCTTATCTCAGTGTTGAGGCTCTCTTTCTTCTTTTACTATTATTTAGTTTATATGTACTTGTTCAAATCAGATCTTAGTCAAATATATTTACAATATTTTCGTTTTTACTATTTTTTAGTAAGTAATACTAAATTATTGCACTGATACTGATAATAAAATAATTTAACACATTCTATTTTCCACAATAACAGTTTTTCTTAATCAGTTTAGGTAACGCAATTAAAGGAATTTTAGCTGAATAAAATGTATTATTTTTCTTTCCCCTAGTTTCTCATAATCATTATGTACTGAAAGTCTTTGTCTTAATCATCAGACAGAAAACTTGATATATCCTTTCTGTTCGACCTTGGGTGGGTTTAGAAAATAACCAGAAATCCTTTTTATTCGAAATCATAAGGAAAATAATGCTCAGCATGTAATTCTAACCTACGTCACCCAATGTCATAATCAGAGGTATTTCCATTGAGCTATTTACACTGTGACCGACATTCTGCAAGACTGAAATGTCTACAAATTATTTGATTACTTAGTAATGTTAGATATCTTGTTACTACTGATGTTTTAATTCTACTGATAAAGGTGAAATATAGTCACTATTCTAAATTATATGAAATCACAGTGCACTTTATTCGGTCTTAGATGGTTGAAGAGAGTTGGTAGAAGGGTTGAGCGATTTGCTAATAACTTCTCTGACCGTGCGACTTATTAAGACATGTGTTGATCTTATAAAAAGAATTGTTCACCTTGAGACTGCAGACGGTCCTTCCTTACGCCTTTCAAGGAATACGAAATCAAGGTTTTAAGACTCCTTAATGATTATTTTCATTTATTTAATACCAGTTAGAAAATTTGTTGTAAATTATGAGTTTACTTGTTTAGTTATGAGATTTAACTGTGAAGCCCTTAATAATAGCTTTGGCTTTCGTTCCTGTCCGAACACTATCATTTAGGGAATCGTCATTCATTAAATGTTACTGACCCAACATACTTATGTTTCATTCTATTGGATTTTTTTTTAAAAGCAAGCTATCTATATTTTTGATTCTTTCAGCTAATTGTTTTTATTGACTTTGAATTTTCTGAAATGTCCTTAACTTTATTTTGAAGAGGCATGAATTATGTTTGTTTTATTACGTAGAATATAAGATTACCAGATTACCTGGGTTTTCAAATATCTGCTTCACTTGAAGTAATGTTTCTTTTTAAATTTGTCGATACTTTTAATCAGTGTTACCGTATCAACATGTGTGCTTCTATTGACGTACTAATTTCTTGGAAAGCTATTAATCCCCGTTTATGACGTAGAAGGTAATATCTCGTGTTTATTTGTCAAACATATTTTATTTCTTGCCTACAATCATTTAACCTGAACCTTATATATTCGTTATTCTTTTCTCTACATATCCGTATATAAATAGTTCATGTAGTAAGCCTTCAATACCTTTCCGATATTAAAGAATGCGATTATTGGCAAAATTATCTTTGTTTTCTATATTTTTTAAAATAAATGATGCCCCTCAGCATAAATACGTAGTAAATATTATCATTTTAAAGTGAAGAAAAACAAACTTCTGACCCCATTGGGAACCGTGAATAACTGCTTATTTGTTGTTATGAATAATAAATTTTTCACCTGATGATCAGGGGACTCTGGAGCTAGTATGAATCGAGGATTATGGTTCGTAGATTCAAAATGTTATCACTTTTTTATTTATATCCATTTCCTAGATCAATTTTACAATCTATGTTTATGTTGAGAAAGGTAATTATTTGATCCAACATATTATTACATCAACATCCAACTACCCATCTAAATAATTGCATATTTTCATTTTTGCTCATTCACAACAATTATTTTCCCTTAAAATCCAGCTCTTGATTTTCTTTTCCTTTTAAACTTCTCCTTTTCTCATTAACCTAGGCCAACAAGAGGATGCTCGTATGTGCTTAAGTATTGCATTAACTGCGGCTCGTTATAATGCTGCGATTGCTAATTATGTTGAAGCTGTTGAAATAATTAAACAACCATCTCGAACTAAATCAATTTCATTGAAATCAACATTGGAAACAACATCTGAACCAGTACCTACAGTATCAGGTGCACGAGTTCGAGATAGATTAACTGGTAAAGAATTCACAATCAATGCTCGTTGTGTGATTAATGCAACTGGACCATTTACAGATAGTATACGACAAATGGATGATAAAGAACAACCTACTATTTGTCAACCTAGTTTAGGTGTTCACATTATTCTTCCTGGTTATTATAGGTAATGACATTTTTATTTTGGGATAATAATAATAATTCATTTTGTATTGTTTGTTTGAATCTTCCCATTGATATTTAGGACTGAAATTTATCAGTTTCTTATTGGCATATTTGCATCCTGTGCGGATTTCCTCGATAGTAACTTAAGTCAAAGGTATTATAGACAAAGATGGATGGTGACTAGCAATGAAATCCAGGAGGCGATTTTCGTCCTGTATGGGACCACACTGCACAAGTTAGTGCCTATCAGGACTCAGTAGATAAATGAATAACGTGATGGCGTTTGAAGCGAACGATATTAGGTTCAAGTCCTAGAGTGAACATCAACTCTGGGATGCAGGTAAATTCAGCTGACGAGTCCCGAATAGGATGAGACGCGCGTCCTGGATTCCACTGCTAGCCATCGTCCACCTTTGCTAACAATAATACTTATAACAGTAATATTCGTAATAATTTATTTTGATGCTTCATGCTATTAACTAAAAAATCAGTCTCCGATAATAACTGATTGGTAGTGTTTTCGTATGTATTTATTATTATGCTAGTGTTATGACATATGCCTGTTCTTGTCCAAATTAAGAAATGCCTATATTCTTTCTAATAAATTACACATCCTATATTGTTTGCTTTGATGAAACGAACAGTAAATCACAAGAGTTTTACATAGTTTTCACTATTATTTATAACTTTCTAATCATTTATTCGATCTCTCTTTTGTTTTTGATGTTAGAAATGTTTAATATAATCCCTACTTTTTATTCCTTTATGCAACGATTCATTTCCTTGATACGAAAGTTTTCTTCAGGTTTGAGATTATTTGAATTTATCTGTTAAGTTTGTAAGTACTGTTTTTGATTTATGATGTTAAAGTTTCCTAAACAGTTGAAAAGTCTCATATAGATTTTTAGCTATTATTACTTTATTGTAGCTTTTTACACATAAATAATAAAAACCGAAATTGATCTTGGTTTGTTTGAAGTGACGTTCGAAACATATTGAAGTATTAGAGTTATTTGAGTCATTTCAATCTAATAGGAAACTTGAATGCAAAGTTAAATAGGTTCATTCTTATTTTCTATTTTTTCTAAATTTATTGAGTGAAATGTATTCTGTGTAAGTAGGATTTGTAATGAGATTTTTAATTTAATCGGTATTACTACTCTCCATTCGGTGTAGTTCACTTTTCTCATTGTTGCGGCTAGTCCAACATTGACAGTTTAGGACTTGGAACAATTGTGCATCGATTCAAGTTACCACATCTCTGATCAGTGTGGCAAGAAGAAATTAATAAGATGAAGAAAAATGAGGGTGAAAATTTTAATAATATATTTTATATTCACATTTAAAAATGACTGCACCTGGAGAATAAAACATACATACTGAGATGAAAACCTTAGTAATCCATATATAAACTTTCGATTTTCATGTGAAAACTGCATATTGGTTATAATCGTATTGCTTTTTTAACCATAAATTATTTATTAACCAAATAGTGTTTTCATGAACGTCGGTACACTTTACTTTCAATCATTTTTTTTAAAAAGAGAGATGAATTATCATTTCAACTTACGATTATTTTGAAATTTTCTCGTCCAACTAACTTTCAATGATCATTTTTGCTGTCCACTTTTTTCTCAATATATTTAATTTTTCTAAAATTACACTCCTACCATTGGATGTCATATGATCAATCACTGTCATGCGTCACGTGTATAACGTCGATAACTTTAGTTCTGATAAATAACACTTTCAGAATAGTAGGTAGATATATGTTGAGGGGAAAATAAATATCTGGCATTTATTGAACCAGAATTAATATCATGTGTCTCGGATGAAATTGGATCATATGACTATGAAGTTCATTGGTAGAAATAATTATTGTCCTTTATACACAGAATTTCGTTCTATCAGCTAATTGCATTGTTTTTCTCCTTTGAAATATCGTACTTTTATTACTAGTAGTATGGTGTTATTAATATTAATAAGCAATTTTATTACTTTCATTAATTCAATCATTAAATTCACAGACTTATGAATTGGAACATTAAATTTGTAACTTCTCAGTCACTACCTTCTTCATGCAAAAAATACTGCTTTTCTAGAGTCAAGTAAATTTTATATAAAGTAGTAAAGATGTTTTTTTACAACAAATTATCAGCAACTTCTAACATGGGAAATGCTATCGTCAGCTATACTGATAGGATAGGTATTTTAATAAGTTGAGTAGGAAAATCGATGAGACTATAATTTATGAACGAACTAATGAAATTAAGGGTACCAGCTCTTTAATTTCTGTGCGAAATTCATTCATTCGTACAGTTACAATCGCATTTCGGTATTATAGTTGATATCAGCTCGTAATTAGTCGTCGGGTCACGTATCACGCATGTTCAACCACGGACTATCACGGCTCGCCATGTTCACTAGTATTGAAGACAGATGGAAGAAAGGTAGGGGCAGCCAAAAAACGTGATATTATTCCATAAAGTCACTAACTTCTGGTTTGAGCCATGTTGATAGATGTAGACTACTTGGTTGGGGTATGCGCAACTATTGTAACCAATAATTGGAGACTATGGGTGACATGGTTCAGAATCGATCACAATGGCGTAGGTGTATATACTCTCTGTCTTTCCTTAAACCGTAAGATTAAAATTACTTCATAACTTTCTTCCTACGAACCACTTCTTTCTATATGCATTATATCCTTATATGCAATCTTTCTTTTATATATAACCACTACTGAAGTAACTATTTCTATGAATTTGGTGATCATCTTGCTGTGCTAATGAGGTGTGACAACTTATTTATTTGTTTATTCATTTCAACACATAGATATTGGTACAAAGAGGCACCAAATACATATGAACCACACAGATCTCATTAGATTTGTGTGAGGGCTGTGATACTGCCCGGGTGCTTAAACTTGATGCGATGCATATATATGCCTGGTCCTACGTTGCAGATGACTGGTGACTGGCGGACTTAGTTCGTAATAAGAACTCTTACTTTAGTTCCTAACCCTAAATAATCACTAAATCCCGATCTCAATTCCTCATACTAACCTTCCTTTGACCTTAGTATGTTTCATGGTCACTATAGCATTGCTCAGAGGTCGTCCATAAACTATAGTTTCTCCGAGAAATCACTGCATCTCTCAGTTCCACAGAATAATATTTTCCAAATACTCTTCAATTTTGTGTATGAATTTTTCTCACTAAGACTTAATGTTGAATGAATACTTGATGTATATTACGAACAACTGAATATATTTCTATAGAATAGATGGATTATAGGTAGCAGTGGAATCCCAAATGTGCATTTCATCTTTATCACAACTCGTCAGCTGGATATATCTGCGTCCCAGTGTTAATATTCACATCAGGGCTCAAATACCTTAAGTTTTGCTCTGAACTCCAACGCGTTTTCCATCGAGTAGGTTACTGAATCCAAGTGTTTACCAGCTTATCGATAAAAAGTTAATTCGAACTTTTTCTAATAATGATACAAACTAAACGTCGGTTAAAAGTAATCGATGTCAGATCAAACTATCATCCATATCATTGTGGCTTCGATTTCTACTCTGTTTCATCAAATTTAAAGCGTTCCCATTCATGTAGTTCTTATAACTTTATAGTTTAATACAGTGTATGGCTTAAACTGTCTTTTTGTGGTTTTTACTTCGTTGATTGAATTTTCGTTTTGTGCAAAAGTTCTTTACAAATCAATATCATGACAAGTAAGACATTTTGAATATTGATGTTCGTTTGATGAGCATGTCTAGTTACTCACCTTTTTCTTCATAACACTAGTTATAATACTTACCAGATTAAAATACACCTAGCAAAGAAATATGTTTAAGAAAGATATGAAATTCACGTTAATCGATCAACTAATTGTGACCAATGTTCAATCGATCAAATTTTATTTTAGTTATTACCTTAAGTGACTCGACGTTTCAGAGTTCTTTATTGATTGCTGTGTAACCTTAATAGATCAGTAGTGACTTCCCTAACTGATACTTGGTGATTCAAGTCGAAAGACTTTGTGCTAAAAGGATTGTTTGAATGAAATTCATATGATATGTCATTCTTGGCAAGCGTATCAATTATTCAGTTATTGATATTCAGGACTAAATTTTTGATCAGTCTATGTGCAACGTGTGCAGAGTACTACGATATAACCACATTGTCACTAGGTTTTTTAGAATAGGTCGGCAAATAACCCATTGATATTTGAAGCAAAATGTTTTTATGTTCGAGTCCTGGTGTGAACATGAACACTGGAATGCAAGTATGTCTAACTGACGAGTCCCAAACCAGGTAAAAAGGACATTTTTACTTCCAGCACTAGCCACAGTTCACATTGGGTTAAAATATTCTCATAATATTTTATAAGTTATGTGAATCAAATTAAGTCAAAATGGTATTCTTCTCTCATAATTTTTTTATCTAATAGATAACCTTATGTTTCCTTTCTTAATTCAATTAAAACGTTGTTCATTTCACTTTAAATCAATAACACTTCATCTTTCTTTCTATTTAAACCGTTTAGTTGCCAAGATCGTGATGATTTGCAATGTATCACTTTAGAATCTATTTTAAATGAATTTTTTAAATTACATATAATACTCATTTTATTTTAGGGTCATATATTTAAAATAACTTTAGCAATTCTTAACATATAACAGAGTTTTAAAAGATAAAACCCAGGTTCATAGTTAGTAGAGGGTCATTACATTGGTGATAATGTATGGATTTTCTTAAAAAATTTTCTCCACGTTTATTTCGTCAAATTATATTAAACTGTTATAGAAACATACATAAGATCAATGTTAATTAATTAATTATAATTGACAATGCGTTCGTTTATTCTATTAATCTGGATTTGTTCAAGCTATTCATTTTTATAGTTAAAAATATCATAATCTTATTATTCAAAATAGAATAGATACATCATATACATTGTGATATCTGTTATATGTATCTGTGTGTGTGTGTTCTCAGCAGTTTTATAAACATTATGAAGTTGATTTGACGTAACAAAATGGAGTTGTTGTTAGAACAAATATCTCTATGAGATTTTACTTAGTTTTTAGTTTATAGTGAATTAATTTTACAGAAAATACAGTAGAGGAATCATTGAAATTCTCCAGTTATTTTTTAAATATTATTGTTGAACGAAATGTTCATGATAAATTGAAATTTTCATAACTTTGTGGCAATAATATAGACGTAACTATTAATAAAACCCTTTGTAAATTTAAGAACTCAACAATTCTGCATAAGTATGAAGTTTTGGATTTGTCACTCGTAAACTAATAAGTGTTTTCTTAAGTAAAAAGTTATTCTTTAGGTATATATTACTAATCATATTAGTCTATTCTTTGTTCCAATTACAAATTACTTTATATTACATAGTAGAATAATATGTTCAGAAGTTTTATCTGATTAAAATTTGATCAATTTACTGATATTCATGATTCAAAAATTGTTGGAAATGTAGTAAACTCATTCATCAGGTACTTGGATTTGAAGCACACTCTAAGTATGAGTGTTAGTGATACTACTCAGTTTCTCAAACTAAGGTGAACGGAATAGGATTCGAACCAGGGAACATAGTGACTGAAAGTCGGATGCTTTAGCCACTAAGCTATCGCTTCATTAAATCTATTCGTGATATTCTTAGATATTTGTTATTTGGAAAGGCATCATAGGTTTGATTCTAGTTAAAGTCGCTTATTTCTTCCAATAACTTGTGCTGAGTCAAAGTTAGAAATTCTCAACACACAAATCGTATTATTGCGATAAGCTTTTTTAAAATGCATTGAAATTGTAAATATTTCATAAATATTATAAAATAAATTTTTCAGTAATTTTGGCCATTCGTTATCAGTTCCAAGATTTTTCGTCGAGTTTTACCCCACACATTATTTTCCAGTACATTATATATTTAATGCATGAATTTAAACGTACTCGCCTCCAATATAACAATCAATGTACTGTTTTCGCTTATATTTTTCTCAGTAGTTAGCATCATGATAGGTTTTTTAACATTTTGTAAAAGCTCATGAACACATCGTACGGTTATTATTAGCTTGAAAGTTTTGAAATATGAATCAATTTTGGAGTATTCGCATAGTAACAAATGAATTCGCATTTGATCAATTCATTATTATTAAACATTATTCAAAAAAGTTCTGTCTTATCTTATTTCTGATTGTATTTTTAGCCCTACTAAAATGGGTTTACTAGATCCAGATACGCGTGATGGTCGTGTGATCTTCTTTTTACCATGGATGAATTATGCGTTAGCTGGCACTACAGATACTGAATGCAATGTTACTGATCAACCATCGCCTTCTGAAGCTGAAGTGAACTTTATCTTGGAAGAAATTAGTAGTTATCTTTCTCCGGAAATCCAAGGTAGGTGTTTAGTTTTGGTCTTCCTTTGTGAGAATGGTTCATCAGGTGCTCGTATAGTACCCTTTAGTTTTTTTAATCACTTTACACCTGTGTAAATTTGTGGTTACATAATATATCAGGTTACTATTTAAATTCTCATTTTTAAGTAACTTCAGTACATATATTTTTAAGACAGTCGATACCGTAGAGAATTATGCACAACGAATAACTCAGTAGTACTGTAGAGAACAAATACTTAAGTGGAGATGAACAATTTATTGTTCAATGTACAATCACACTGTGGTTTAGTAAAATGTGGAAGTCATCCATCAAATACATAATTTGCACATTTTCTTTAAATTGTTTCCTACAAGCTTCATTGTTCCTTCATTCCTGTTTTTATCTTGATTGATTTTAGTTTTCTTCTCTCTTCTCAACCTTCTTTTTGCAGACATTCCACTTCTCACTGGTGTTACATACTACTTATATATGAAAAAATAAGTAGCATACGCCACTGTACCACCTGGGATTGTAACACTTGTTAATGCAGTTCAGAATATCACAGGGAATATGTTTTTTATTATATTAAACAGTGGTTTAGTGGCTAAAGCGTCGAACGTTTAGCCGTCAAATCCCTTGCTCGAACCCTACTTCATCTGCTGTAGTTTGGGCAACTGAATAATATCACTAGCCGTCAAACTACGAGTGTAATTCATATTCAAGTACCTAGTGAATTAATAAACTTAATTTTAAATCATTAATACTGATATCGATCATTTGATTTTATCATATCAATTTTTCTAGTTCATAATCTTGATTTGCACCACTCTTAGATGTCGTCGACACATTTCATTGCTTTCGTACACAGTCACTTTGTTTCGGCCGTGCAATATTTTAGTACCATCTTAATCCAATGTCCTGGGAACCTTCTTTTACATTTAATGGATAATTACAACATCTTATTCAACCATTTTACCATTTTCATATGAATGTCTGCTACACTAAGCCGATATGTTTTTTGCACCTTATTTTAACCATTTTCACTTCTATAGGTACGTTAAACTTCATTCTAAGTTTTGATTTTGGAACATATAGGTTATAAGCCGTTGAATAATCGCTTCAAATGGTTTTTCCTGTTCTTATGAAGTCAATAAAAGGAATTAAGCGTTAAATATCAGTTTCTTTAGAATTGAAGATATGTTTTCGTAAGTTGCGCTAAGTAGTACAAAACGTAAATTCCTGTCTCCCTAACAATTTTTCCTCTCGCTTCATATCAAACTACGTACATCGGTATTCTGAGTCAGTGAGGGTCAGAATTCATCTTAATATATAGAATTCGATGAGGAATTATAGATGGTCAACTGTATATTGGTTACTATAATAGTGGTCAGTTAATTTACTTAAGTAACTCAGTCACTGAAAAAGGATTAAATAAGTAGCACATACAATTAGATATCTCGATTTTGAACAATATGTCAAGTTACCGAATTATACCCTTAATCTTATACCACATAAAGACCTAGCTAATTTCAAAATTTTTGTGTTTTCTTAGCTTGAGTTTAAGTTATGAACTTTTCATTGTCTTCCCAGACAAAATCTTGTGCTCAAGACATGTGAATTTATTTTACTGTCTGTAAGTAGCTTTCAGCATATCTCTTAACAATGGTTATGTCTAATTATTATCAATAGGTGTACTATTACTGTTTGTATACATACGTTTCAATTGATTGCTTTTTTTAAATGTAATTTTCGGTATTAAACATCACCGTCGTCTTTTTTCTTTAATAATTTTATGTATTTGGTTTTAGACTTTGTAGTTATCAGAAAGTGTCCATATCATCATATTGTAATCAGATATTTCCATCAAATTACCAGCTATAATTCAGTCATTTAAAAAACGGCGTTCATTTGTTTCCATATTAATAATAATAATCATTATATGTGAAAATTATATTTGAAATATTCTCAGCGATTGAAATATAACTAATTCCAACGTTTCGTCCAGCTAACTTGTCTGGACTTCTTCAGGGTCCAGACAAGTTAGCTGGACGAAACGTTGGAATTAGTTATATTTCAATCGCTGAGAATATTTCAAATATAATTTTCACATATAATGACTTCTCTATACTCGGCGCTCAATTACTGTCAAACTATTCGTTCTAATCTTGACGAATATTCTTATAAATAATAATAATCGTTTTTTCAATATTACAATATGGAATTATCAGCGTACAATATTTTAAAGAGTTCCTCTTTGCAACGCTGGATATGCTCCAGGTTCAAGGAGTATAAATGTTTGTGATCCGGCCATCCTTTTCAATTTGATTATTGTATAGTGTATAAACTAAGTATGGTATTATTTAGCTTTGTACTTTTCTTTGATTGTATGCATTCTGACGTACATTTATGTCTTATTTTACCATTATGCTTATACATTAAGTTAATATCTTGAGGGATTTTCTCTATTCTTAAATAACTTGAATATTTGCATATTATTTTCTGCCTGCTATTTGATTAATAATTCATTTTTAAAATGAAATCATAATTGGTTAACAAGATATTCTGAATCTTATCTACATCTATACAATACACTTGGATAAACAGTTTTGATTAATTAATATTACATCATCATAACTAATGTTTTAGTTAAAATGTAACTCAATTTTTTCGTTTCATTTACTTTTGTTATTGCTATATTTGTTTCTTTGTTAATAGTTCGTCGTGGTGATGTACTGTCATCTTGGGCAGGTATTCGACCACTTGTTCGTGACCCAAATTCTTCTGATACACAGTCGATTGCACGTAATCATATTATTGATGTTTCGCCATCTAAATTGATAACAATTGCTGGTGGTAAATGGACAACTTACAGAAGTATGGCAGAAGAGACTGTGGATAAAGCGATAAAGGTAGTAAACAAGTTCTGTCTTTATTTGAGTAGTTCACTAATAAAAGTTGCTATTTTATTAACAGTGAATCAGTTAATGAGTACTTGTTTATGCAGTTAACTTTAAGCTGCACTGTTTTTGTAAAGTTAAGTAATACTATGTGGTTATTTAAACTGAGTTAGGTGAAATGTGATATGATACTCAATCGTCAGATCATTTAACCGCTAAGTTATCGTCATTTGATAAACACAGTCCTACATTTTATACCCTTAATAGCTGATTGTCATTAGAATTAATAATTGTTTTAATATTTTCATTTTGTTATTACGAGAGAAATATACAGAAATTTATCAGGAATTATTTTATTCTGTCTTATTAATTAACTAGGTATGTGATCTTAAACCAACTGGTCCATGTCGTACCAAAGGTCTTCTTTTAGAGGGGGCTCATGGTTGGTCACCAAATCTATTTATACAAATTGTTCAAGAATATGGTATGGATGTTGATGTGGCACGCCATTTAACTGGGATTTATGGTGATAAAGCTATCACTATAGCTAATATATCCAAACTAACTGGTTTAAGATGGCCAATATTAGGTAAAAAATTACATCCTGAATTTCCTTTTATTGAAGCTGAAGTAAGTTAATTTTGTCATAAAATTGATAATTTGTATAATAAGATGAATAGTGCTATTATTGTCTGTGAAACTGCCTTCACTTTTTCTACATAGATATGTTATACTGTATATTTTACAAGTAGTTTGGGAACATGTTATAGAATGTCAAACCAATAAATATGCATACTATCATTAAGTTTCTTGTTTCAAAATACCTTAATCTTTTCAACATTTCTTGTCTGTTGAGGTTTGTTTTGTACTGATTTGGCCGATCTATTCTAGCTGTCAAGTTTGTCTGGACTGCTGTTTCATATTGATTGTCACTATTGAATACCGTTAGTTTACGAACTAACAAGATGAAAGCTCCCTGTTATCACCATTATTTCCAATGAAGTTATTGTACAGTTAAGTTAGTTCAGCCATACAGATCAGCACATAAATAATGTTTATTAATTGGTTTCCAAGTGAATTCATAATCTGCAACACTTACTGGTGTCAATTGTCCATTGTGACACGTTTCACTTTTATCCGTATACCACGTCTAAGGAATTTTCATTAAGAAACGACATCTGCTTGATAACTGTTAAATAACAGCGTTGACGTCATTTCGTGATAAAAATGTGCCTTTCCATATTATGTTCATAAAACGGCGTAAGTCTGTAAAACTTGTGTTTGCTCGCTAGTGGTTAGCTTCGGAAGAACTCTCCTAAAGTCTGCAAACTAGGTGCTTATGTATGGTTAGCATGTTGATGTCCGCACTATTTCATTTTTTTAAGTTCGAATCAAATGGGAATATGCTCATTGGTTCATTTTTCAATCAGTCAGTCCTAGTGGACGAATTAATTTACTGAAAAATACTTAAGTAAATCTTACATAAGTACTGATGTTTTACTACCGTATCTATTTTGTTCGGGTTTATTGGAAAGTAGATTGTTTTCTCTCAATTCTTGTTCTAACTTAGGAATAGTTAAATGAAGTATAGAGCTTCCAGGGAATAATACTAAACAGTACATGTCCATGGAACACTTAACTGACTTGGCACTCGTTACTGAAACTGAATCAGACAACGTAAGACAAGCACAACGACGATAAATCTGGATTTATTTGGTCTCCATAATAAATCAAAATGTTAAATGAATGCTCAAATTTTTCTATGATTTATTTACGGTCAGATTAACATTTAGATACAATAAAGAATATATATGTAAAAAGGAGAACCATATCATCAACAGAAATAACATCTTTGTTCACTAATATTCCACTGACAGAAACCTATTACATATATGAACAACCGCCAGAAAAGAAAAGAAAGGTACCGATCACGATAAATACATTGAAGGAGCTTCTGTTGAAATGCACTACGAATATCTGCTTCATGTTTAACAACAAAACTTATAGACCAGTAGATGGAGTAGCAATGTGGTCACCCATAAGCCTGATCCTCGCTAATATTTTTCTATTCAAACAAGAAAATGGACTGGTGGGTGATATCCTAAATAAGCTAGATTATTGTCATTGTTACACGGATGAAATACTAATCGTGTGTGACGAAACTAACGACAAACAAGAGGTTTTGAACAGTTTAGATCACGTTCACCCAGCTATTAAATTCACCAGCGAAGAAAAGAACGATAATAGAATATCTTTTCTTGATGTATTACTTTTTGGGAAAATAGACGGCTCCATAAAAACAATTGTATTTAGGTAGAATACTTGGACGGGTCAGTATACCTATTTGCACAGTTTTAAACCTCTTCAATACAAAATAAATCTAGTTAAATGTTTTAGTCACAGAATCAATGTATTATGTTCTGAGGATAAAGTAGATAGCGAAATAAATAAACTAAAGAACACAATACGGCATATTGGTTTTCCAGATAATATCAGATTTCTATCAGAAGGTAAGAAATAACAAACTAATACAATCAGCGAGAAAACCCTCTATCTAAAACTCTTTAAAAGGGGACATAGCAAGTGACATTTCAACAAGTCAACTCAAAAAATCTGTTGAGAAGACATTTCATGCAGCCAAGTTACATGTGACCTTCTCAACCAAACCAATAACTACGCAAAAAATCAGGGATCGTTTACCGATGATGATGTGTGTACACCAATTCGACCACTCCTATACAGAGGGCTTTATCCTTTCATGTTCGTGAGCGTGTAACAGTATCACTTACTTACTTACGCCTGTTACTCCTAATAGAGCATAGGCCGCAAACCAGCATTCTTCAACCCACTCTGTCCTGGGGTGTAACAGTATGGCTGGGAAAAAAGAGTCATTGAATCTTTTAACAACGCCATTCTTTCTCACTTGGTAGATAGTGAGCATCATATAAAAATACATGAAGCTTTCACTATTTTGTGTCGAGTTCTAAACAATCTACATATCTGAAGCCATCTGAATCAACTCTGGAAAACCTAACTTATTTATCCAGAAGAGATATAGTCAGCCTTTATGTTTACCTTGGTACACGACTGAATCACCAGATACCTAGGCTGGATGTTATAAACTTCTTATTCCCTCTCCTCATTCCCTATGTGTTTCTATCTTTCTTAACCTCCACGTTCACCTTTCTCAATTCGCAGGAATTCTTTTTTATTACAATTAACCTGACAACACCCCTCTTATTGCATATTATATTCACACAATGTTGTTATTATTGTTATTATTGCCTCATTTAACAAGACGAAATTCTCCTACTATACTGTTCACACGACTTATTGTATTGATATTATATTGATTAATACTTAACACTTTATTACGAATCATTCTGACCTTTGTTAAACGACCCTACTAATTGACAAATAACACGATTTCGAAGCATTTATGTCGGAACAAATGCAGGAGTTCACCCTTGTCGAAATCACTAATGCATACCTTATTTAGGTCTTTATAAAATATCACAGTAATTATGGACTTCTAACTGTAGAGCCTAACATGATTTATTTCTTGAACCCATACTTAAAATATCATACAATTATGCGTCTATAACCAACAGATATAGACTTGACTATTTAGTATTTACTCCCCACAATGTGATTACTTTTTACAGATGATTGGGGAGAAAAATCAATGTGATGTGTTATTCACACTCCACTAGGTTACGTCACTCATTGATCACAATATCATACATGAGATTTTTTTAAAAAAAAGCCTGTTTAATGTTTTTCTAGGTGGAATATGCATGCCGAGAATATGCTTGTCATGCTGTCGACTTTCTTGCTCGTCGTACTCGTTTAGCATTTTTGAATGTACGAGCTGCGGAAGAAGCTTTACCAAGAATTGTTGATTTAATGGGTGAACATTTAAAATGGAACAGTGAGAGAAAAAAGCAAGAAATGCGTGAGGCAGAGGTAAACTAGAATTTTGATAAGATATTTGTGTAATATATTTGCTTTATTTATTTTTTCTACCTTATTACTAATAGTGAAACTGCATACATATTTTGTTCATAGCAAACTATACTCGGTCTTTTGAATCAGCGTTGAGTTTGAACTCGTGACTTACTTGTGTCTGTTACTCGTCGTGGAGTATAAGCCGCCGACCAACAATCTTCCACCTACTTTGTCCTTGGCTCTCCTTACAATTTTTCATCAAGCGTTATTCATTCTTTTGATGTCTGTCTTCAACTTATGGTGCGATGTATTCTCTGATTCGCCTCTTTTCTTTTTGCCTTAAGGATTCCAATTTAGGACTTGCTTTGTGATTCACTTTGATGATATTTGCTATGTGTTTCCTATCCACCTATCTTATTCACATACCGAATATACTGAGATCTAGATTTTTCGGGTATTATAAAGAAATATTTTAATGAGCATATTTTCAGCAAGCTCAAACAGCTCATGGTTTTTCTCCGTCTAATTCTGTTTTTTACACATTATTAGTTAATTACAGACGTTTTTGCGAAGGATCCTTTGCATATGTCACAATTAGTGATTGATAATTTTCATGTAAATGTATAATTTTAATTAAGAAACAGTATTAAAATTCATAAACAGAAATGGGTTGTAGTAAACACTGGAGTTCAGGACTTGCGTTTTATGCTTCTCTCAGTCGATGTTTACTCAAAAACTTGAACCCAGTACCGTTTGCTTTAAACACAATAAGGTTATCCACCCAGCTAAAGTTCAGACAACCATGATCTTGTGCACTGGGGTGAGGTTTAATTTTTGTGTATTATTTATTTGGGAATATTCAAATTATCAATACTAAGATTTGTTAATTAAGTGATTAATTTTGAGTAGCAGATATTTAGAATTACGATGTTGGCTAGTTGGTCGCAAAAAATAACTATGATATTAATTTACTAGAAAGGATTAAGAAACTGAAATGTCCAGGATTTGTGTAGTTGTTTGTAACTGAACGATTTTTGTATTTCTAATGTATGTTATGGTATTCATATGTAAATCTAACTATAAACCTTTTTTTGATCGATAGTCATCATAACATATACTAGTTTTTCTAAGAAATATAATCCAATTAATTATAAATTCGTTATGCCTAGTTGTATCAAATTTTTCCCTCACTTAATACCTACCATTTATAATTTCATGTACTTCATAGTCTTTTGAATAATTTTATGTGTCATGGTTCAAACCATCGAGCGGTTGAATGGTTAATTTTACATTCTGTTGTTTTTATTGAACGTTGGTTTGTAGACATCATACATTCCACAGCGTAGAATCGTCTGAATTTCGTTGTTTTAGGTAACTTACAATCAGTAGTAAGAATGGATCCAACCAGTCAGTTGGTAATGATTCAAGAGTAATCATATAACATATTTGTGTTGTTTGTTATGGATGTACTCCATAGTCATCTGACAATTTTATACTAAGTGAAAACCTCGTTTCCACCAGTGTGGTACAAAGGTATGTCACATCTTATTTGGTTTTTGCATACTTACGTCTGTTACCCCTCATGAAGGAGCATAGGCCGCTCACCAAATTCTCCATCCAACTCTGTCTTGGGCAATCTTTCGTAGTTCTTTCCAACTGCTATTCATCCTTTTCACATCTTCCGATTCTCGCCACAGTGTTCTTTGGTCATTCTTTCTTCTATTTCCCTTCACGATTCCATGCTAGGGCTTGCCTCTGATGCTGTTTGATGATTTTCGAAATGTGCGTTTTATCCACCTCCAACGTCTTCTAATTTTCTCCTCGAATGGTTTGTCCTCTCTCACAGTAGGGTGTTGCTGATGGTATCCGGCAACAGACATTGAGTATTTTGTGTAGTCAGTTATTTATAGATACTTGTACTCTTTTGGTGATGATTGTAGTAGTCCTCCAAGTTTCAGCTCCATACCGTAGAACTGTCTTGACGTTCGTATTGAAGATTCTCACTTTGGTATTAGTTGACAGTTGTTTTGAGTTGCATATGTTGTTCAACTGTAGAAATGTTGTCATTATTTTGTCAATCCTCGCCTTGATGACTGCATCTGATCCTCCTTGTTCATCAATGATACTGTTCAGACAGGTACGTGAAAGTTTCCATCTGTTCCAGAGTTTCTCCATCAAGTGTGTTTGGTTTGGTTTGTGTTCTCCGTGTTGAATTTGAGGATCTTGATTTTTCCCTTGTGTATAATGAGGCCTACTAATGCAGAGGCTGCTGATACAGTGGTTGTCTTCATCTACATTTGTTGTTCATAGGATAGAAGAGCCTATTCATCTGCGATGTTCAAATCGTGTAGTTGCATGCGAGCTGTCCATTTTATTCCGTTGGTTTTTGCATACTTTTTGTATTTTACAGCCTTAATGAATACTTTTAAAAAAGGGAGTTGTGTCGTAGTTGTTGGTATACAAATTATCTCACTTCTATCTAAAGCATTTGTTGATGTTTTTGTTTAGAAAGACTGTGAAAACCTCACTAATAAATCACCTGGTTCTGGGATAGCTTATTATTTAGAATTTTTAATATTTACACAGTTTTTCATTCAATCCATTACACGCCTAATAATGAGAATATGAACATAAGAAACGCTTTATAGGAATGTTATTATTGATTCCTATCTGCGTTTTTGTTAGATACTTACCATCTGAAATAATTATTGAGAGGAAAATTTTTGTCGAACAAATTTCCATGAATGTACGGTCGTATTGAATGATTAATTCATCTAAACAAATGAAAAATTTATTGTCCTGTAAACTTTATTAGATTAGCAAATGCCAAAAAATCTTTCGCCTGGCAAAAATTCATCCATTTACTCAAAGACTCAATTGATTTCATCACATGTATCACTGTTAACTTATCTGTGGTATTTACATTAAGTTGGAATATTTTATTAGGTTGGTAGACGGAGGTTTGATGGCCGACGCTAATAGACAGAAAGCTTTGAGGATATATTTCGTGTTAGCTGTTCATTTATCAGTAAAGCATATTTATAATATTGAGTCAGTTGTTGCTCTCCACAGGATTAAACCATTGCGTTACAGTTCGTATGACTTTGATCACTGAGCTTTTCATGTTAATTGGTGGAATTAATCACCATAGATCACGAAACTGATCACTACTAAGTAACAAATTAGTTTATAATGTAGGAATCTCAAACAGTTAGTTGGCTATGAATGCCCAATAATCCCTCTCTCTCTCCATATATATATATATATATATATATGAATTTCGAAATTAAACTTTTCTGAACCATGTGTATATTTTGTAGTCTATTCCTAGTGGGAAAAATTGTTATAATTTGTGTTCGTTTTGGCTAAATTTTATGGAAAAGTGTTTTTATTCTCTTAAAACTTAGGAAAGCAAAACTATATACAAAAATGTCTTCTGGTTGCACAAACTTGAATAATTTTTTCTGTCTGATTAGTTACAAATCATATTCATAACTAACGATTTAACAGAAAAAAGGCTTGTCCGTGAATACCAGTCCGACATCTACAAATTAATTTACATAATTTTCTTACAATAACCTGAAAAAACCTAATACATTTTCACTGTATACTTTAGTTGAACTTCATATGGAAGGATAGATTAGCCACGGAACCCATCTAATTTCTTGTACTATTGATAATACGTGCTGTTACGCTTTACACGTATATTTTCTTCATCGATGGATGATTATGATGATGATAATGACGATGAATAAAATGATGGTATCAAAATGTTTTTACTCTAATTACTACCAAATGTTTCATCTTTATTTCAGTGGATAAAGCGTTAGATGAAAACGAAAAAAAAAATTATTATCTCATATATTTTTCCTTACTACACAAAAGATGTTGTATGACGAATTTCTTCAGGACTGTGTTGTTGGTGATAATTTCGATTGAATTCTAACTTAAACATATCATTTTTTACGGACTAACTCCATTTGAAGAGTAAATAATATTCAGAGAAAATAAGATAGTTCTTTTATCCTATATTGATGCTCTGTATTAGTGTACACTCATCAAGGATCGAACTTATTAGCAGTCTTTCAATCAGTAATTAAAAAGATGACCAAATTGAAGGGTCTTCACAAACTTTCTATCTCAATAATGATCTTGTGCTCAGTGGTGGAGGATACCTGTAGGAAAAATTTCGAAATTTCTAGTGCATGCATATGACCAGTGGAGTTCAAACATGTTACTAGTAAGGTATGTATGATTGGTGGAATGGAATGTTACAAGTTAAAAATAGAAATCACTGTATCCTGAATTGATTGGCTTAAAATGAACATACAATCTACAAAATCTCCATGTTTTCTATTCACTTCCTTCTGAGGTTGTGAGTTTGTACATCTACGAAGTCTTAATTTAAAGATAAAACAGTTCAATGTATCTTCGTTTCTAGTGGTTTTGAAGCTGAAGTTAGTTCATCATGGAAATTACCCTTCTTAATTATATCTGGAAAACGTCACTTATTTTACATTTTATTTGTGATCGATAGTTGTACAGAAAACTTTTTATGGATTTAACACATACAATGTCTCACTTTGGGTAATGCAATTTATATATATATATATATATATATATATATTACGTTATATATCGTGAACAATTTCTTGTCAGTATTTATTTCAAATGTGTCTGGATTCCTATTGATTTTTGTAACTGATAGCACATGTTTTCAAAGCATTTTTACACGCTTGTTACACGTGTGTTTTTCTTTTTATAGAACTTTTTAAAATCTGAAATGGGTCTTGGTCTGCGTGTTATGGAAGGTGTTCGTATGGATTTGACTATTGATGAAATTAGTAATCTTTTACAAAGTTTCCGTAAACTTGATCATGACACTAAAGGTTATGTTTCGTTGGATGATTTACGCAAATTTTGTACTGTAAGTTGTTATCAAACCAGGATATCTTGGTGATTTTTTTCTGTATTCAATTTGTTAATTACCAACGATATTTCAGAAATACTCGTAAACTGTTTTCCATAACTCTTGTTACTGTGTACATATTTATTCCCTAAAGCTTTAATGATTCATTTGAAGTTTAATACGTTAATTATTTAAATTTTCCAAAATACAATAGCTAATCACTTTTTTTCAATCCACTCAATATATATAATTTATTACAATTCTAGTCATATGATGTAACAAGACACTTCTTTCAAAATTTTTCATGGCTTTGATGAATTCTTAATTTCCGCATCATGATTAAAAAATCATTAAAAGACAGGAAGTGCCAGACAACTGTTTCATCTTCGTATAATACTCATCAGTGCTCATTCATTACCCTATGACCTTGAGGCTTTGCAAAAAGTGCCTGATCTTCAAACCACTATGTTGACATCCAATGGTTTAGATTTCAAACTTCAGTGGATCTCTAAACTCACAAACCTCCACAGCATTCTATAATAGTTTTAGTTGGTTTTAAACGCTTCATCGTTGTAAGTATTAATCTTCTGAAAGTAACTGAATGTTACAGAATTTTTACGTCAACGTATGTCATAACATGATTTAATTCAAAACTAATTATTTTGTTTCAAGTATGTTTTTAATGAATTTATTTTTAAGACAAAAATAATGTATTTATTTATGGAGTTTTATTGAATTTGGTAAATTGGTTTTGCCAAAAATTACAAACTAGATTAGTATACAATAAATATTTTGATAATTCTGTCGACAATGTACCTGATATTGATTCCTCTCCATCTTGTTTAAAGTACAATTTATTCATGTAATTCATGTGTAAGGACAATCGATTGTATAAATGTTTCATGTAATAAGCAGGCTCCATAAAATCACTGTTTTAGCATTTTAAAGAAAACTAATTTTAGAAATAACAACATACTATAATAATTGTTTAAAATTACACAACACACTTATATTTCACTGTAAACTATTAATTTTAGTGAATAAACTAATTATGAATATAATTGCACAGCTTAAGTAAATAAAATCTTCGCTAAAACAACTTTCTTCACTTCACTTGGTATTGTTTTACTTGAATCTTCCCATTGATGTTTTAGGACTGAAATTGATCAGTCTCTTATTGGCATATGTGCATACTGTAAATTAAGGCAATATCGAGGCAATACACACAGTATGCACATATGCCAATAAGAGACTGATCAATTTCAGTCCTAAAACATCAATGGGAAGATTCAAGTAAAACAATACCAAGTGAATTAAACTTCATCACTTTGCACAAGCAAGTGGCCATCAGGACTCAGTAGCTAAGTGGATAACGCGATGGGGTTTGAAGCGAACGATACTGAGTTCGAGTCCCAGAGTGAACATCAACTCTGAGATGCAGGTACATCCAGCTGACGAGTCCCAAACAGGACGAAACGCGCGTCCTGTATTCCACTGCTAGCTACTGTCCATCTTTGCTTATAAACTTTCTTCACTGTTCTACTTTTATGCTTCTTAAATTCTATATTCATTAACCAAGTTTACAATTCTTATCCGTAACTTTGAATGATTTCAAACACCTCAGTTTTCAATAGTTTTTTTATAACTTGCCTAGGTAGTTCTTTTTCGAAATAATAACGTTTTAAATGGTTTGTTCTTTATAACCATTAAGTTCATTATACATTTGATAAAGTTACCAAAAATAAACTATCTGAATACAATTTTAATCATGTATTAACATCAACTGATGAAATATAAAGAGATCAACAATCAATTATTTCATTTTATTTTCAATCTCTTCACTTTAATTGTCAGTTATTTGGGACTTGGTGTGATATGACTCAGAATCGTCTAGAATGGCTAAGATTTATTCACTCCTCCTATTCCACTAAATCTTGGGCTTTGAAATTACTTTGTATTTTTCATTCCATGAATTTACTATTAATTACTAGCAATAACTTTATTTCAAATTATGTTTAGTATGGTATTAAATTCTCAGAATATTATCTACGTCTAATGTTTTCTACTACTGTAACATTTATCTTGGTAATTTCATCTCACTATAGTGATACAGTATGGTGACTTGGATCGACACAGATGAGTGTCAGCTTCTATTTTGTTTATAACTAACTGATCGGATGATTATCAGTTGTTGTTGAAATCTTTTTAACTAAGCTAACTTTCTTCAAGCTCCATATCTGAATAATAGTAATAATAACAGCAATATTCTTATTGTATTTTATGAATCTTTTTACAAACAATATTTATTAACCTTTTTAGGAATCTGGCGAATATGTTAGTGAAGAAGTGTTACAATCTACTTTGAATACAATGGATATTAATAAGAATGGACAAGTTGACATGTCAGAATTCTTACAAGTATGTTAAAATGGAAAAATTTTCTCTCTGATATTTTATTTATTTATTTCATTGGTTCTCGGAAAATAATTCTTAGTTCCCTTTATTTTTTCATCATTTTTTATCTACATATTTCAGTTAATTCTCATAAAGAAATTTTATTTTTAACATTCAATCAGATACTTTACTCTTTTCAAGTTGAAAAACATTAATGCTTATGTTTTTTGAGATAACAAGTCAACATTCTTTGCTTTTAGATACTTGGTTGTTAGGTTGTTCAAATTTTAACCGATAGATTTCAGATTCAAAAGTCGATCCACTTGTTAAGGTTTGGATAACCGGCTGATATTATTGACCTTCACACAAATAGTGTGATTAATTGTTGAATACGTACAATTACACGTAGTAGTAATTGAATTAAATTAAATTAAATACGTTATCTCTTTCATATTAAATAATAACAATCCTATGTTTTTAAGGTGATATCGATTAGCTCCTGTTGTTTGCAGATATTTTCTACTTTTTTTAAATTATATACACATTCCACTTTTCTAAAGGGGCATATTGCACTGAACACGTTTTTTCACAAAGTATTGTTATCTCAAGAAATTGAAGTAAAAACGTTAATAAGTCAATGCCAATAAAATTCCTCCAAGTTTAAGACATGATTACGAATTCATATTTCTGATTGTAAACTGCATTTGATATTTTTGCCAATCAATTACGCAGCCGTTTTAATGGTTCGGAGTTATTAATTTGTATAGAAACTTACTGTCATACACACACACGCCATATCATAATTCTGCTGTATGCATTTGCCTATGGTTAAGTTTCAAAAAACGACGAAACTGGGCTACCTATTGCTTTAAGTATATTCATGGAAGTTAATTTCACTCCTCAATTTTTCCACTTACCATGAAGTATTAATATTAGTGTATTAATGCATATGAATATGTAGTCCGATTGGCTTAACTATAATCGCTTGTGTTAGTTGGGGTTTTGAATCAACTGACCATAAGTTGTAAGCCTAGTTTTCATGCTAGTTGATAATCACCATCAAGCTGCTTTTCGTATATTTTGAGCTAGTATCGCAGTGTCATAGTTAGAGACCTAATTACTGAGCTATTCGGACTGTAACTACTGAATTTCTTTAGGGCTGAAATATTTACCATTCAATAATAACCAATTAGATATTCTTCTAGTCCTTAGTGCTGATCAATTTCTATCGATTAATTTCAATTTGGATACTAATTTAATTGAGTTATTATTTTGTCAGTTCAATCCTGTGCAATCGAATTTGCCTTACACTACATTAAAGGATAGACATATTGTTGCTAATTGTAATCGTTAGGGTTCAAAATAGAGGCATGGGAAATACTTCTAACACAATACTTGGTCTATCATAACTAGATAAATCTACGATTAACACACAACGACACTTGAAAAATTCTAACTTCACACAAGCGAGAAGAGATGAGACTAGACTTTGTTAGCTAGATTTTCTGCCTCTAGAAAAAAAAACAATAAAGTATGTGAACATCTCAGTTTATATAATGTTTTAGAAAACAAAGTAACTAATAGGACTGCCTTATTTCAAAATTTACGATAATGTCGTGGTACAAAGGCCCACATTGATATTGCTGAAGAAACCCTGACAAATCAGCTCGAACACAAATATTTATAGATCGTGTAAAAGCCTGCGGCACGTATTTTCTTTGTAAGGATTTATATTTTCTCGTTTTTGATGTTAAGGGATGCAGTTGTCCAGTCTCTGCACCCGTTACACAAGACAGTGGCTATCTGAACTTCGTAGGTCGACGCATAACGCTTTAATGTTTGAAGATAAAAGTACTGGGTTCGATGATCTACCATGTGAAAATGAAAACTAGAATGGTTGTACACCCAGAGGACCAGTCCCGAGTGGGATGAAATAGGCTATCCAGATTTCACTGCTAGTCACTACCCAACTTTAATCAAGACTTGTGAATAAACGAAAATATCGAGGCAATCCACTCAGAATGCATTCATATCAATTGTAGATCTTAACATAATCAACAGGAAAGTACAAACCCTTTAAAAGAAATTCGGAGAGTTTAATTACTAAAATAATAATTATTCAATTTACTATCGTTGTTAATTTTTTTGGATAATTACACTTTGTTGTAAAAGATATTAATTCTTTGTCAAGTTGTTTTGTGTCGTCACGGCAGTTCCTAATGCGTTCAGCTGAAATACCTGGTTAGCGGTTTTTAGCAAGGATGTTTTCTGCGGGATGGTTCCTATTAGAACTTAACAAATCACAATCACTATAGGAATACATTTAAATCTAAATGGAATAGTGTGTTTCATTTGATACTTTGTGAACAGATTTTCTTAATATCGTGTTTTATAATTTTGCATATGCAAATTACTTTTTTATTCTCATACGAACTTTTTTTGACAAGAATTATAAATTTTAATTATGAATAGTGTTACAATATTGGCTCTTTAGGCAAGTCAAATTTATTTACCTCAGTGCCCTGTATTAATTGTAACTGCTATAGAGATGTTAGTGTGATAAGTTTACGACTTGTTTTTTGTCTACGTTGGTATTATTTTACTTTTATCGATAAATTCTTTGAAACTGTTAGTGAGGTCAGTCAGCTTTTCATTACTGAATTGCGCATTCAATTTAAAGCTCAGTTTTAAAGGAAACTATTATCAACCTATTCATTGATCCAAGTGACTTTTTAGAATTGAAGTTAAGGTAGAAATCACTGTATTAAACTTGTTAATATTCTTTTCAATGGTGTACAATTTATTCAGGAAATAACACATTTTTTCAACCTAATTTTCTGTCTACCCAATCAATTCAGTAAATACTGAACCGTAAATTATGAACGTGAGCTCATTTATATGAGTAAGAGAAGTGATAATGATGATGAAGTAGCCAAATTTATCTACGTAATTACGATTTATTAATAAGAAAGGACGTTCATCAACGATCATTGTCCGAGGGTATGGTATATCTTTTACACTTTCTAAGTCCAGAGTACCTTCACCTGGAAATAAACGTTTCGGCTTTGGGTATACGGATGATATTGTCTTACTTTGAGACGATATCCAAGCCATGCAATGCGTACTCAATCAGTTGGCAGTCAGCATCTGTGGGTATGGGATTTATTTTGCACCTTCTGAGTGCAAAGTACTATTAGAAGACTGGCAGAAGCCTGTCCCTTCACTCACTGTTGTTAGTGTCTGTGTCTGTGTATCTGTGTAAATGCTGGTGGTAGCGTGAGTAATGAGACCAATTAACGTATAATAGAAGTTCGTTTGTGTTATTTCGACGTGTGCAGTCTTTGGTGCTTTTGTTTTGTTATCCCGGGTGTAAAGGGTTGGATCTACGACACGTGGATTAGAGTAGTTGTGCTATGTGCTTTCTAATCCTGAACTGACCGAGTTGAGGATGTTAAGTGACTCTCTGTGTTTGATCATCGTTGTCTGGGAAGTATTTGTAACATTCAGTGGCAACACGATTTCATTAATGTTAGAGGTTCTGGAACGTGTGTTCAGACACAGTGAGGATAATGCAATTGGTGTGAACATCTTGGAACACTGTCTTGGTTTGTTTAGATATTTAATACGAATGTCATGCCAACGAATTTCCCATGGTTGGTTATTTGTGGACACTAGGAGTTGTTGGAAAAAATCAGAGAGGTGGTCAGTGTATGACATGGTGTCGTGATATGAAAAAAGTTGTATGGGGATGACTTGAATAAGCTGTTTTGTCTCAGTTGTATTGTCAATGGATCGTGCTTTAGAGAACTAAAATTACCTAGATTTAAATCTACATAAAATTTAATAGCGCTTACATTATAACTGTTTATTTAAAATATTTCTTCTATTTTAACTTCTAGAATTACATTCCCTAGTGTACTTCACATATTTTGAATTCCGAGTTATGCGGTATCTGTTGACCGACCCTTTAAATAATGTACTAAATCAATTTGATTAGAAATGTTTTTGTGTTTAGTTGTATTAAAGTAGTGTGTTAATGAAACAGACATATTTATTCATGCTTTATTTGTGTTTTTGCTATCATTAGAACTTATCGCTAGTTTCATTTTTATCAAATTCTTATGGTTTTGAAATTGATTTTGATCAATGTTTTGTATTTCTAAACACATCATGTATTTAATGTGCAATACCAGTTATCAAAAGCTTGAAGATCTGTTCAAGACAGTTGACTGGATACTTAATGATAATCTTTTGCCTTTGTAGATTATCATTTTACATGTTTGTGAGCTATCTAAGATTTCGAGATCATTAGCAATGAATCTTTAGAATGTAGATCGACCTAGTTTTCGAAGTAAAAACGCTTCTCAAATTATTCATTCATGGTCACTAAACTTTTCCATAGTTTTAAAGATCTAAAGATCGGTTCGCCACAAATAAGGGAAGTATCTGTCTTTCAATTTCTGTCACATAAAGAGGGGCTAGATTCTGGACTAATTTGATTATTGGTTGCTCTGAAGAAAGATATTAAATTTTATTTCTGTTTGACCGATAGACCCGTTTATACATAAGTATTATCTATTAATTTAAGTGTTTACTATTCGCCTAACGACACCTGATTGTAAATCTTGTTAATTTGACATCATCAACATCGGAGTTGGCACAAGTGTGTGTTCGTTTAAGTTGTCATCAGGACAACTTAACTGGTTATAAACAAGAGAAGCGAAGTAGAGGGAACAGTATTAACAACACTTGAATTCTAAATGTGACCAGGTTCATGAAGATATAACCGAGATCGAATAAATTGAAAACCTGTGAATGGAGATTTCAAAGAAGATAGACACTGAATAAAATTGTGCTGCTATGATAGATTTTGGACTGTGTCAATTGTATCTAACCGCTAATCTGATTGGATAAGGCTCAATCAGTCAGTCAGCTACAACGTAGGACCAGACACATATATGTATCACACCAAGTCGCCATACCTCATTAGCACAACAACATCAACACCAAATTCATAGAGGTAGTTACTTCAATGGTAGTAATATATAAAATAAAGATTGCATATGAGGATATAGTGCAGGAAGAAAGGATTAGTTCGTAGAAAGAAAGATATAAAGCAATTTTAATCCCAAGGTTTAAAGGAAGACAAAGAGTGCATACACCTACGCCATCGTGATTGATTCAAAGCCATGTCACCCACAGTCTCCAACCATTGGTTACGATAGTCACGCAGACCCTAACCAACTAGTCTGCGTTTTCCAAAATGACTCAGACTAGAAGTTAGTGACTTCATTCAAACAAGTAGTTAGCGACTTCGTCCATATCATAAAAATTATGTTTCTCAACTTATTCAGGAAATATGCTTTTTTCACAATTTGCTACTTTAAGAGCAATAAGAAAGATTGCAATCAGAAAAGTAAACATTGTTGATAGAGTTATACAGTTTCTGCTACATAAAATATACTCTAATCAACTTATTGTGAATGAATCTTGACTCTTTCGCCGTTATTGAAATATGATGAACTAGAAATGTAGAGAAACACTTCTTATACATTCGTACTCAGATAACTAGAACATCTTCATTCTGGTCAAATTATATACAAACCTCCAACTTTTTTAGATTTAATTAGCTTTGTATAAACATTTCCTTCATTCACATATCTTACTTATAAACTATTTATTTTATTCATATTTCAATATTAATCATTTATGTATGATGAAAACAACATAGGTACTACGTAGTCAACTCATCCATCAATTGAATTCACGTAATCGTGATAAACAAGCTTAACAATCATCTACGTAAGGACATTACAAAGCAGATCTACAATATTTGACTATTTTTGAAAACCCACTATTTTAATCAAAGTTTGTGCGTGGATTTACATTAACAACAAACCATTATAATGCTTAACACTCTGCTTCTGTTACAGCTGCTTTTTGTGTTGTTGTAGAATTATCACAGGTCACTGTTGCTGCCTCTTCTTATGAACATTCATTGTGTATTTGTCATTATTTTGCTACTATTTTTGCGCAATATGTGTCTGTGTATGTTTGCGGTTGACTCTGCAGGTTAATTTTACTTTCCATAGTATACGTTTGTCAATTGAACACCATTTTAATTAGTTTACTTCACTCCCGGCTGTATAACTGAAAGTGAGATTGCCGTTAATCACTGAGTTGATGTTGTATTTCCACATTTTCTGATTAACCGATTTAAAGTTGTGATAATAATGAAAAGTTGGGTAATTTTAGAATATTAATTTTGTGTTCCTTGTTATTAGTAGATTTACCTCAACGTTAGGTCAATAAGTTTTAAATTTATATATACAAAGCTTGAAGTTTATATTGGATACTAGACTGTTTTGATTATGTCAGTCCAAATGTTTATCAATGTAAACTAATGCATACGTTAGACTGATCTTTATGAATCACATATATGATGAAAATAAGAGCATAAGTGATAGCTACTTTCCAAATATTCAACAAACACACTGTAAATTTCAGTTCTCGTGAGCCAGATTATGATATTGTTTTCCATTAGTCTTTTGGTCATAAAGCTAGTATGTATGCTGTATAATTAAAACTATTAGCATCTAAACAGTAGTTTTCGAGAACAATATCGAGTCAGTGACTGAGGGGTTAGAGTTTAAGTTTAATCTTACTCCACCTATCTCGATTCCAGCATACAAGTAGTACTGGTGACCCTAACACACAAACTGTAGCTCTAAGCCGATTACATATATCTTTGCTTGGCCAATGGATAATGTTTTCAATATCATTATCAAAGACATAACTGATAGTGAAATGCTGATCACTTTTAAATGTTCGTTTCGTTAAAACTACGTGAGTAGAAGCGTATGACTTAACTCTAGTTTAATCTCAACTAAGCTTTTTAATTAAACAATTTTACATTGTGCACAAATTTTTATCAAATTTTTTGATGTGCTACCTGTTCTATTTATCAGCTGGTTGTTATTCGATCCTTTATCGCATTGCTTTTATTTAATATACTATATTGATTATTTTAGTAAAATCACTTTCTCCCTATGGTATTCAAACCCTTTTCACTTACGTAAAGAATTAATATCGTCGTCGCCAAAAACGTAGAGTTTTTTCAAGAACCATCATGAAAATACGTGCTCATATTTCTTAAGTTTGTGTCACGTTTTTTTCTAAGACTTCACTTTCATTATTTATTTAAGATCATAATTCTGTTTTTCCTGAATAACTCTTGTTCACTTTCCTTTTAAATTACCTTCTATGAACAAGATGCCCCGTATACCGTTGCTAACAGTAATCATTTTTAATATTTCAATTGATAAGTACTTATCTCGAGCTATACTGTTAAAGAATCATGTTAGATAATTTCGTCTAATGAATAGTATGAAGTACAAAAATGCTTCATATATTGTCAGCAACCAAAACTTACTACTCAGTCATACATTGTGTCATAGTTTGAAAATACCAACTTTATAACTTACTGAAATGAAGTGCCTGTATTCACACTAACAATGTAGAAAGAAATTCAATGGGAGTTCTTTTTTTGTCTCTAATTCTCCTATTATCGTCATTATATTTGCCTAATTACACACTTGCTTTAATGTGCATTCATTATAAATTACATAAACTTTAATTATTAATTACCATATATATAAGTAATAATCTTTAAAATTATGTCATGTCAAATTATTAACAATATTTTGCTTATTCTTCTTTTCTAGTTTATGAGTGCAATAAAATCTGGCGTTGTTGTCAACTCACCTCTAAAGAAAGTATTAAGTCGTACTCGAATTCCTGTTTATAGAAGTGGTGGTGGTGTTTGAAAGAAAACTGTTGTTCTGTTTAGAAACTTTCGCAATGATAATAGCAATAATAAGGATAAGTGTCCCTTATCTTTACTTTTTTTCAGAAGTTAACTTCTTTCGCTTTGTGTTTTGTTCACTCCTAGTGTTATGTGTCTAAATGTGGTTGCCGATTGTGCTTTTTTGAAGATGGTGTTGAATCGACTACAAGAATGGTGCTATTATCATTAATGTTATTCGGCACTTTAATAATATCACAGATTTATAGTTCGACTATCTTTTTTTCAATTTTTATTACTCTTATCTAGGTAAGCTGAGATTGTTGCAGAACGTGTGCATGTATGAGTGACTTATTTTAGTAATTGTGCATTTTTAAAGTTATAGCGTGTATAGATGAAAAAACTTACTTATTTTTTTGTTTAATTTTAGCTAGTTATATTATCATTATTCAATAGAATGCAAAAATATTCTTCATTCAACACTCGGAAAACTGTTTTCTATCTCATAATTGTATTTTTCGTCGTTATTATCATTAACTTTAGCTATTCATCACTTCCAAAACAGCATCATTTGTCCACCTACTACTGTCTATCACAGCAACCATTAGAAATTTTCACTCTTTAATGTTTTACTTGTTAAGAATTATGTTCAGTGTGTATCGATTTAGTTCACGAGTTTACTTTCTCGGTAATTTTTGTTTATATATTGCATTCTTTTTGTCAACTATGTTCGAGATTATTTACAAATTTTTGTTTGAGTATTCATACCTTGTGATAAAGTCAATACACTTATACAACCCCCCAAATGTATACGTGTTTTATTATACAGACAATAGAACTTAAATGTATTTCGTATTCAAGACATAAGTTATCAAAGATCCGAAATCTCGTGCATATATGACCTTCGCTGAAATTCTAGCCTCAGATTTCTGAGAACGACTGCTGAATTTGAGATATTTATTGAGGTTACCTAACAATTACTAGAATACACACTCATTAAGAACGTCTGTCAGGTAAGGCTTTACTGAGAATACGAGAGTAGATTAAAAGCATAATATATTTTGTGCAAAGACTTGTCTAAATGTTTACCCATTTGTTGGACTCAACAGTTCATATGTAAAACGTTTTCCGTTTATTGATAACAATACTCAATTAAAATAAAGGAAATAGAGTCTTCACTAACATTCAGTTGGGAAGAAGTTTTTAATAATTTCTGTTTATCTCAGGCCATCTTTAAAAGATAATACAGATTAGTCAAATTGGCTGCTAATCTTGGACAGAAGAATATTGTGGGATAGTGGACATTTTATCTGCTCTCTTATTGAAATAGATCTTTCAGTAAGGACAGTAATACATTATAGGACTGAACCTCTACAGGTAGGAGAAATATAACCTAGGAATGTGTTGTTAAAGCGAAAATATTAGGTAAATAAAAATGCCTACTGGGTTACCTAAATACAAATCATCTTAATACTGGCTTTCAAATAAAGCCTATTGTCGAAACACTATACGTTTAGCAGCAGTCATATACAGCTGAGATTTTAGATACGTTGAGCTTGCTTAGTACTGCATACCATTCATCCAGATTCATGATGGTGAAGAATATAACGGTTTCACTTCCCCTACTCCTTCACCTGTAGGTTCCAGGAACAACTGAGGTCACACTTAGGTAGTTGTGAAGACGAGGCTGACCCAGATGTTGCTTGGAAGGGCATACAATCAGCTGTGGAAACAGCAGTGACATCTATTAGTGACTTAAACCACAGAGTTGCAAGGAACCAGTGGATTTCTTCAAGGTCTGTCACACTGATGGATTCTCGCAAACTCGTCCCATCAGGTTCTGAACATGATGAAGAGCGTAAACAAATCAGATCTAGGTTAAGAAAAAGTCTAAAGAACGACCGTGAGCAGTGGTGGGTAACGAAAGCAAAAGAGATGGAAAAGGCGGCGACTATAGGGAACACAAGACAGCTTTAAAGACTTATAAAAGAAACTGGAATTAATAAGTCAAGTGTAAGTGAGATTATTTCGGAAAAAGATGATACTCTCATCTGCTCCCAGTCCAGGCGTTTAGAACGATGGGCGGAACATTTTAGAGAACAGTTCAGCTGGCCTTCAGCTTCTCTACAACTACCCTCCATTCCCAGACAATGTGAATGGAACATTGAAGTAGGTCCCCCAACTCTTGCTGAAGCGAGGAAGGGCAGATGGACTGGCTCCAGAGGTCTTTAAGGATGGTGGTCCAATTTTAGCGATTAGGTTGACTAATATTTTAGCTAAGATCTGGGAATTAGACTTTATCCCATCTGACTGGTCGCAATCACTTATCGTCCCAATATATAAGAAAGGGTCAAAATCATCCTGTGACAACCACGGAGGGATTAGTTTAACAAACATAGTATCTAAAATACTGGCCTCGATAATTATCAGACGCCTAACTAAGACTCGTGAACTACAAACTCGAGAGAACCAAGCTAGAGTTAGACCTGGACGTGGCTGCATCGACCACATATTCACCATTCGTCAGGTTCTCGAACACAGGCATACTTATCGGCGTCCGACGATGGTGGTCCTTCTTGACTTAAAAGCAGCATTTGACTCTGTAGACCGCGAGACTCTGTGGCAGTGTCTGTCATTGAAAGGCGTACCTCAGAAGTACATAAACCTTGTGAAGGCTCTTTACTCGAACACTACTAGTCGAGTCAGGGCTTATGGCGAACTGTCATCTACTTTTGCAACCTCAAGTGGTGTCCGTCAAGGCTGCCCACTTTCTCCATTTTTGTTTAACTTCATCATAGACCTATTGATGGAAATAACACTCTCGTCGACTGAATTCTCGGGTATTGATCAGCTACCAGGAGGTCCACTTATCGACTTAGAATACGCAGATGACATAGTCCTGTTTGGTGAAGACGCTGACAAAATGCAGAGTCTTCTGGTAGCACTAAGCAACAATGCCAGAATGTTTGGGATGCGCTTCTCTCCCTCTAAATGCAAGTTGTTGCTTCAGGACTGGTCTGCGTCAACACCTGAACTAAGGATAGGGAGTGAAGTGGTCGAACGCGTTGACAACTTCACTAATCTTGGAAGTCTGATCAGCCCTAATGGGTTGGTGTCTGACGAAATCTCAGCACGGATTCGAAAAGCTCGTTTGGCTTTTGCCAACTTACATCACCTTTGACGAAGGCGAGATATCCGTCTATCAATTAAGGGATGAGTATACTGCGCGGCAGTTCGTTCCGTTTTAATTTACGGCAGCGAGACATGGCCCTTAAGAGTAGAAGACACCCGTAAGCTACTAGTATTTGACCACAGATGCCTTAGAAATATTGCTGGCATCTGCTGGGATCACCAGGTAAGTAATAGTGAGGTTAGACGCAGGGTATTAGGAAATGATGGTAAATCAGTTGATGAGGTTATGAATCTTCATCGACTGAGATGGTTGGGCCACGTATTACGTATGCCTGAACACCGATTACCACGACGTGCAATGCTAACCGGTGTTCGGGATGGTTGGAAGAAAGTTTGGTGCGGCCAAACCAAAACGTGGCATCAGTGCTTGAAGACACTAACTTCTAGTCTGAGCCATGTTGGTAGATGCAGACTACTTTGTTGGGGTGTACGTGACAATCGTAACCAATGGTTGGAGACTCTTGGTGACATGGCTGAGAAGCGATCACAATGGCGTCGGTGTATACACTCCCTGTCTTCCCTTAAACTAAGAGATTAAAATCACTTCATATCTTTCTTTCTACGAACTAGTTCTTTCTTCCTATACTATATCCTTATTGCAATCTTTCTCCTATATATTACCACCTTTGACCTAACCACTCCTACGAATCCGCTATTCATCTTGCTGTGCTTATGAGGTATGGCAACCTGGACCGATGCACATATGTGCCTGGTCCTACGTTGTAGCTGACTGACTGACTGACTGACTCACCTGCAAATTCATTTTATATACAATCAGTGATGAGTTTAAGGATTTCCTGAACAATATCCGAAGAAATTAAACAGACAGCTCTTATGAGGTATCCAGTCTTTAGAGGGCTACTAGAATACGTGTGGATTAATGTTAATGAAGAGGGGATTACTGCAATCCATGATATGGCAAGTTATGGCGTAATCAATAGGAATGGGAATAACATCTTTCTAAAATCGTGTGTGGCATGTATTCACATCATCTGTGTTTATTTGTATAAATATTGTAAATTTGTGTTCACACCGGAAGCTGCTGAATTATTATTAAGTAGAACTCAGTTCAAACTGTATAAGTATGACTTACTCAAACTGTAAATAAATCGTAGAGTGTGATGTATTCCTAAATCACTTTGACTTAATTTGAGAGTTAAATATATCCCTATAAACAGTCTTCGTTGCTTTTATAGTGCGCTCAAGTTGTGTAAATCTAGTCTAGGGTTTTTAGAAGCGACTAGGAAATCAAGTTGAACGTTTATTTAGAAGATTTATCAGTAATAAACAATATTGGTATTGGTTACGTCTTTTGCATGTGGTCGTTGTTTGAGTGCATATATTTTGAATTATGTGTAGTTAACTCTCTCAACAGTGACCCTGTAAGCAATATTATGAGGCGAAATGAATTTTTCAATGCTCTCAGTGGTTGGTATATTTTTTTATATATGATTGTGCCACGAAGTTGTTAGGATAAAATAAAGATTGTTGACAAGTCTTTCTGATGTAAAAGACTCATATAAACAATAAAATGACCGTTTTCAGCTAGCAACTGGCTTAATCTAACGCAAAGCAGCTTAAGACTGAATATGCCACGGGTATTTCGAGCTTGACAACAATTTACCCCGTCAGGAAAAAATCACAATATATAAAAATTAAAATAAAGTAATGATATATGAAACCCCAAAAAGGAACACACTCATAGTTTACAAGTTCGTGATCCAGATCACATCGAGCTCACCAATGAAGATGCCACAGGTATTTGGAGTTTGACAACGCTTTAACCAGTAACGTCTACTATGAATCATGCCCATCTAATGAAATCACAAG